GGGGGGGGAAACCCCCCTTTTTCCCCCAAAAAAAAAAATTTTTTTTTAAAGGGGTTTTTTAGGGGCCGGGGGTTTTTTTTTGGGGGGGGGGGGAAAGGGGGGGTTTTTTCCCCTTTCCGGGGGGAAAAAAGGGGGGGGTTGGTTTTTTTAAAGGGGTGGGGTAGTTTTTTTTAAAAAATTTTCCCCCGGGGGGGTTTAAAAAGGGGGTTTTTTAAAAAACCCCCCCGGGGGGTAAAGGGGGGGGTTTTTTTTTTTTTTTTGGGGGCCCCCCCTTAAAATTGGGGGGGGCCCCCGGGGGGGGACAAGGGGGGCCCCCCCCCTGGGGGGTTTTTAAAAAAAACCCCTTTTTTGGGAAAAAACCCGGGTTTTTTTTTTTTTTTTTTTTAAAACCCGGGGGGCTGGGGGGGGGGGGGTTTTCCGGGGGTTTTTGGGGGGCCCCCCAAAAAAAAAATTTTTTTTTTTTTTTTTAAAGGAAAACCCATTTTTTTTGTTTTTTAAAAAAAAAAAAAGGGAAAAAAATTTTTTAAATTTTTTTTGGGGCCCCCCCTTTTTTTTTTTAAATTTTTAAATTTTTAAAAAAAAAGGAAAGGGGGGGGGCCCCCTTTTTTTGGGGGGGTTTTTTTTTTTCCCCCCGGGGGGTTTTTTTTTTTTTTATTTTTTTTTTTCCCCTTTAAAAAGGGGGGGGGGGGTTCGGGAAATTTTTTTGGGGGGGGGGGTTTTAAAAAATTTTTAAAAAAAAAAAAGGGAAAAAAAAAGGGGGGGGCCCCCCCCAAAAAAAAAAAAACCCCCCCCCCCCCCCCCCCCCCCCCCCAAAAAATTTCCCCCCCCCTTGGGGGCCCCCCCCCCCCCCGGGGGCCCCCCCCCCTTTTTTTTTCCCCCCCCCCAAAAAAGGGGGGCCCTCCCCCCCTGAACCGGGAAAAAAAAGGGGGGGGGGAAAAAAAAAGGGGGGGGGTTTTTCCCCCCCCTTTTTCCCCCCCCCCCTTTTTTTTTTTGGAAAAAAGGGGGGGGGGGGGAAAAAAAAAAATTTTTCCCCCCCCCTTTTAAAAAAAAGGGGCCCAAAAAAAAAAAAAGGGGGGTTTAAAAAAAACCCCCCCCTTTTCCCCTTTTTGAGGGGAAAAAGGGGGGGGGGGGAAAGGGGGGGGGGCAGGGGAAAAGGGGGGGGGGGGGAAAAAAAAGGGGGAAAAAGGGGGGGGGGGGGGGGGGGGCCCCCCCCCTTTTTAAAGGGGGGGGGCCCGGGGGGAAAAAAAAAAAAAACCCCCCCCCGGGGGGGGGAAAAAAAAATTTTTTCCGGGGCCCCCTTTGGGGAAAAAAAAATTTTTAAAAAGAAAGGGGTTGGGGGCCCCCAAGGGGGGTTTTGAGGGGTTCCCCCCGGGGGGGGGTTTAAACCCTTTGGGGGGGGCCCGGGGGGGGGGGGGTAAAAGGGGGGTTTTGGGGGGAAAAAAAAAAAAAAAATGGGGGGGGGCCCCAAGGGGGGGGGGGGGGGCCCAAAAAAAATGGGGGGGGGGAATTTTTTCGGGTGGGGGGGCCATCACTGTAGGGCGGAAAGGGTTGTATATGCCTAAGAAGGAGGACAGGGCTGGTGGAACGGGAAAGCAGGTGCGATTCAAAAGGCGGCGCAGAAGACTGCCTGTACCATACTGATGTCGGTTGGAGGTAGCCAGCATGCGCGCTGCTGAGGAGGAGCTGGATCGGATTAGGGTTGGACCGGCAGCTATTCCTCATTGAGGCTGGAGAGGCTGAGTACAGCAGGTCTCTCTGATTTTACTCTACGGTGCTGAGGGCCTGGCAGCTACTAAGGCCCACACGAGAAGGGGGTGGTAGAGCCTGGGCTGTGGGTGTGGGAGGAGCCTATCTTCCACAACCCAGCCATCCTTTCGGTTCAGTCGGCCACCCTGAAGAGGCGAATCAACCCTCGTACACCTGGGTTGGGCGCCCCCCCCCTTGGTTTGTGCTGTGGTGGAGACCTCTGTGGGCTATACTCGGCCTTGTCTCAGGATTGTAAGTTGGTGGTTGAGGATATCCCTCTAGTGGTGCGGGGGCTGTGCTTTGGCAGAGTGGGTGGGGTTATCTCCTTCCTGTTTGGCCCTGTCCGGGGTGTTTCTTCGGATGGGGCCACAGTGTCTCCGGACCGCTCCTGTCTCAGCCTCCAGTATTTATGCTGCAGTAGTTTATGTGTCGGGGGGGCGGGGGTTAGTTGGTTAACCTGGAGTACTTCTCCATGTCTTATCCAGTGTCCTGTGTGAATTTAAGTATTGCTCTCTCTAATTCTCTCGTTCTCTCTTTCTCTCTGAGAACCTGAGCCCTAGGACCATACGTCAGGACTAACGGCATGCTGACACCTTGCGTCCCCAGTCCGCCTGGCCTTGCTGCATTCCAGTTTCAACTGTTCTGCCTGCGGTTACGAAACCCCTACCTGTCCCAGACCTGCTGTTTTTCAACTCTTAATGATCGGCTATGAAAAGCCACTGAGAGACCTGAGCCCTAGGACATACGTCGGACTCTACCGGCCGTGGTGACTCCTTGCTGTCCCCAGTCCCGCCTGGCCTTGCTGCTATTCCAGTTTCAACTGTTCTGCCTGCGGTTTATGGAACCCCTACCTGTCCCAGACCTGCTGTTTTCAACTCTAATGATCGGCTATAGAAAAGCCAACTGAGATTTTATTCCTGATTATTATTTGACCATGCTTGTCACTTATGAACATTTTTGAACATCTTGGCATGGTTCTGTTATAACCTCCACCCGGCACAGCCAGACGAGGACTGGCCACCCCCTCATAGCCTGGTTCCTCTCTAGGTTTCCTTCCTAGGTTTCGGCCTTCTAGGGAGTTTTTCCTAGCCCCGTGCTTCTACAACCCTGCATTACTACTGTTTGGGTGTTTTTTAGGCTGGGTTTCTGTACAGCACTTCGAGATATTAGCTGATGTACGAAGGGCTATATAAAATAAAATTGATTGATTTGTTGATTGATTGATTTGGCAGCCGGGATTACTAAGGCTGGGTGACCTGCGACTGCTGGGATGAGAGGAGGGGTGGAAAACCCCAGAAGTCTAGCACAAACAAACAGGACTAACATCTCTTAGGCTGCTGGAGGAGATTCCTTGGGAAGTCCAGAGGCACTGTCTGAGCCGGTAAAGGGGGTTAGGTGTTGAGCGGCCAAAGGTGGAGGGGGGGGCCATCCAATGTTTCCACCACGCACATGATGGCAGAGACTGAGGACTGGTCAAGGGGGTCTGGAGGACTTGTTAGATTTTAACACTCGAGCCTGAGGAGTTTGAAGGGGTGGGAGGTAAAGCCCTATACAACCTCTGTATTAGGTAAGGAACATCAGGACCTAACAGGAGTGAAGGCACATCAGTGGCAGGGAGTATGTGGGGCGGAGAGTATGTGTGGGTTTTAGATGGGAGGGGGCTCTACAAACTCCCAGTACCAAGAGGTCAGGGGGACCTCCAGTGGAGGTTTTACATGGAGCCCTGGCCACTCACAGCTGGTTGGCACGGTTGAACCGGTGAGTCGCGACACGGGGCATCCTTTCTGTGTCATGAGTGAAACTGTGATTCAGGTGTTTTTCTGTGTGCGCCAGGTTAATGCCTTTAATGTCCTCTTTGGAATGTCTGTTGTGAGAGGTTTGGGGGGGTGGAGTTTACTGTCGGGATGTTTATAATGGGGGTAAAGGTATTCAAATAAGGAAAAGGCTAAATGTTGTGTTGTTGAATTTTCTGTTTGCTCAGGCAAAGTGAGCTATTTGGATAACAAGGAGGAACAGGGTCAAAGGTGGAAGGGATACAGACCCTTTACTATTATTTAATGGGATGTCTCTGCGCGCCTTAGGGTAGAATTTGGGTTTCTATAAAATTATAAAAGTGTGGAGATATTTCAAGAGATATGGTGTGTTGGGGGGCTGTCTGTATAGCGGGGGAAGATGGTTCTGGAATACGGGGGGAAAGTGGTGAGGTTTTTGGGTTTTTGTACTGTGGTTTTTTTTGTATGGGGGTAGAGGGAAAGGGGAGTATGCAGACAGGGGATTTGGTAATTTAGGGGTGGGGGGGGGGGGGAGGGTTTAATGAAATGAGGATTTCATTAAAAAAAAAAAAGTCCCAAAAATCTTATTTTTTAACTCGTTTTCTTTAAATTATGCTGTCTACAATAACCTCCCTTTCCTCTTCCCTCTTTTTTTCCCCCCCCCCCTAAAAAACCCCCCCCCCCCCTTTTTCCCCCCCCCCTTTTCCCCCCTTCTCCTTCTCTTTTCCCCCCTTTTCTCTCTCCTCCTCGCCTCTTTTTTTCTTCCCCCTTCTTGGTACCCCTTCTTTTTTTTCTCTCTCCCCCCTTTTTTCTTTTTCTTCTTTCAGGTTTTTTTTAGTCTGTTTTGCCCCTCCCCCCTTTTTTCTCCCCCTTCCCCGGGGGCCCCCCCTTTACCTTTTTTTTCCCCCTCTCCTCCTATGTACTTGTGTCTGCTCTCAGAGCTCTCCACTCTCTCTCTGCGACTCTCATATTCTCCTCTTCTCTCTGCCCTGTCTTCGCTCTCGTCTCTCTATCCTCTCTATCTCTCTCACTTCTCCTCTCCTCCTCTCTCTCTCTCTTCTCTTCCTCTCTCATCATCCAAGGCATCGTTTCTTCAAGCGTCTTTCTCGGAGGGACAGCCCACGATCTCCATCCAATCACTCTCCCTCTCTCCTCTCTCCTCCTCAGGACTCCAAGGGCGGAGGGACAGATTATCTCATCCCTGGTATCCCCAGAGACCAGCTGATCATAAATAAACAAAGAGGAGAATGGGACGAGATGTTCATGAAGCAGTACAGTACTCTCTCCGTCAGCCACAGAATTATTTGCAATACACAAAGTTAAGAGTGGGGAGTGTTTGAACTGCGTAATGAATGATGCCTAATTTGATGCACAGACAGTGTAATGCAGCAAACTTGTATGTCTTGCAATTTCCTCCATAGCATTGTAAATATTACATGGCATCTAAAAATGACATAGCTGGAGTTAAGTTGGTTGAATAAGTCAGGAGCTGGGCTGTGCCGGGCTTTTGGGCATTGAGGGCATGGGCAGTTGGTTCTGTATGAGGGGAGAGGAGGAAGAGGGAGGGGCATGAGGAGGAGGATGGGGGGGGGGGGATAAGGAGGGGAAGGAGGGGGAGGAAGGGGAGAAAGAGGAGCAGGCGGGCACCATGTTGTATTATTGATGGAGATCAGATGTACTCCAGTGCATGATGGCCCTCCATTAAGAGAGCTGCTGCTGCTCTCTATCAGCCTCTATTTCTGTAGGCCTCTGAGTCACACACTGAGAATGGCAGCTTGCAGGCCCTCCCTCTACCACTTGCAGCCTGCCTGACCCATGCAGGGCACACTCCCCTCAGTCCTATGGAACTCTGAATGGACACTGAATCCTGAGTTTAGGGTGGGTATAAGGACATAGAATGAGTTTAGAATGGGTAATAAATAGGATATAAGATTGATTAGGATATATGTAAGGATATAGGATGTTATAAGGATATAGGTTGGGTATAAGGATATAATATGGTATAAGGATATAGGTTGGGTAAAAGGACATAGGATGGGTATAAGGATGGTTATAAAGATATAAGATGGGTATAAGGATGGTATAAGGACATAGGATGGGTATAAGGATGGTTATAAAGATATAAGATGGGTATAAGGATATACAGTGAGGGAATTAAGTATTTGATCCCCTGCTGATTTTGTATGTTTGGCCACTGACAAAGACATGATCAGTCTATAATTTTAATGGTAGGTTTATTTGAACAGTGAGAGGCAGAATAACAACAAAAAAATCCAGAAAAACGCATGTCAAAAATGTTATAAATTGATTTATAAGTATTTGACCCCTCTGCAAAACATGACTTAGTACTTGGTGGCAAAACCCTTGTTGGCAATCACAGAGGTCAGATGTTTCTTGTAGTTGGCCACCAGGTTTGCACACATCTCAGGAGGGATTTTGTCCCACTCCTCTTTGCAGATCTTCTCCAAGTCATTAAGGTTTTGAGGCTGACGTTTGGCAACTCGAACCTTCAGCTCCCTCCACAGATTTTCTATGGGATTAATGTCTGGAGACTGGCTAGGCCACTCCAGGACCTTAATGTGCTTCTTCTTGAGCCACTCCTTTGTTGCCTTGGCCGTGTGTTTTGGGTCATTGTCATGCTGGAATACCCATTCACGACCCATTTTCAATGCCCTGGCTTAGGGAAGGAGGTTCTCACCCAAGATTTGACGGTACATGGCCCCGTCCATCATCCCTTTGATGCGGTGAAGTTGTCCTGTCCCCTTAGCAGAAAAACACCCCCAAAGCATAATGTTTCCACCTCCATGTTTGACGGTGGGGATGGTGTTCTTGGGGTCATAGGCAGCATTCCTCCTCCTCCAAACACGGCGAATTGAGTTGATGCCAAAGAGCTCCATTTTGGTCTCATCTGACCACAACACTTTCACCCAGTTCTCCTCTGAATCATTCAGATGTTCATTGGCAAACTTCAGACGGGCCTGTATATGTGCTTTCTTGAGCAGGGGGACCTTGCGGGCACTGCAGGATTTCAGTCCTTCACGGCGTAGTGTGTTACCAATTGTTTTCTTGGTGACTATGGTCCCAGCTGCCTTGAGATCATTGACAAGATCCTCCCGTGTGGTTCTGGGCTGATTCCTCACCATTCTCATGATCATTGCAACTCCACGAGGTGAGATCTTGCATGGAGCCCCAGGCCGAGGGAGATTGACAGTTCTTTTGTGTTTCTTCCATTTGCGAATAATCACACCAACTGTTGTAACCTTCTCACCAAGCTGCTTGGCGATGGTCTTGTAGCCCATTCCAGCCTTGTGTAGGTCTACAATCTTGTCCCTGACATCCTTGGAGAGCTCTTTGGTCTTGGCCATGGTGGAGAGTTTGGAATCTGATTGATTGATTGCTTCTGTGGACAGGTGTCTTTTATACAGGTAACAAACTGAGATTAGGAGCACTCCCTTTAAGAGTGTGCTCCTAATCTCAACTCGTTACCTGTATAAAAGACACCTGGGAGCCAGAAATCTTTCTGATTGAGAGGGGGTCAAATACTTATTTCCCTCATTAAAATGCAAATCAATTTATAACATTTTTGTTGTTATTCTGTCTCTCACTGTTCAAATAAACATACCATTAAAATTATAGATCTGATCATTTCTATGTCAGTGGGCAAATGTACAAAATCAGCAGGGGATCAAATACTTTTTTCCCTGTAGGATGGGTATAAGGATGGTTATAAGGATATAAGATGGGTATAAGGATATAGGATGGTATGCGGATATAGGATGGTTATAAGGATGTAGTATGGTTATAAGGATGTAGGATAGGTATACAGACATGCCTTTGTAATTCAACACAAATCCATTATAATTCTGCAGTTACTGTTAGAAAATCCACAACCCATTTCAGGCGTTCTACAATGCAACTCATTAATATTCATGAGGCTGCCACTTTATTTTTATTCTCGTACTCTCCCAAACCTTTTTCTTGCCTATCAAACCACTGATAAGCTTTTTTGCATTCTGCAAACGGAACACAGAATAAATGGCACCCAATTATCTCACTCTGCACAGTCTTGTGTGTGTGAGAGAGAGAAAGAGAGAGCGAGAGAGGAGAGAGAGAGAGGAGAGAGGAAGAGAGGAGAGAGAGAGAGAGAGAGAGGGTAGAGAATTAGAGGTCCGATGGTAGAGTCAGAGTTAGCAGAGGATGGATGGAAGGTTAGACGTAGGAGATAGGATGTAGAGATAGAGAGCACATAGACAGAGAGAGAGAGAGAGAGGAAATGAAAAGGCATTTGAAGCAAAGGCAGAAGTCTCCTTCTCTTCACTCTCTTTGATGGGACAGTGAGAGAATTAGGCCTAATAATTAGCTAATGCTTACTGTAGTTCAATGACACACACACACACACACACACACACACACACACACACACACAAACACACACACACACTGGACTTAAGCGCCTCTCTCAGTCAGTCTTCTTTCCATGTGAAAGCCCAGCCATGGCTGTGACAGCTGCTCACCACTTCCTGCTAGTCTATTTCCAGCCTCTCTGTGACAGGGCGTTAAAATAGGACAGGGATTTCATCACACACACGTGCCGGAGAGCAGGATTACACACATTAAACACACACTTATTAGCGCACACACATGCACACGCACAAACACAGTCATTAGCATGTACACACACACGCACACACACTAACAAGTGAGATGGATTAGTCATCCATAATGGTAATTATTACATACATAGACACAATTCACATGCATGTGTGTCTGTGTCTCTCTGCGTGTGTCTCTCTCTGTGTGTGTGTGTGTTGTGTGGGCTAGTCATTGGACATGTGAGTCACATATCTCCCACCTGCAGCCCAGCAAGCAGAGAACACACACACACATAGATTGGAGGGACATATTGAAGAGTGCATGGACAGAGTAGTGAGGAGCAGCTGGACATGGTGAATCACTGAGTTCTCACCAGCAAAAGCTTTGAGAAGGACAACTCTAATCTGTGAGAGAGAACCAGAGAGAGAGAAAGAGACCCCCTATCTGGCCAATCAAGCAGTGACATTAATCAATTAACCAATCAACCAGGAAAATAAATCAAGCCGTATGATATGACCTCACATTTCAGTATGACTTGGATTAAGTACCCAGAGAATTAAATAGAACACTAGAGTACAGACTATATTATAGTAGGATAATATGTATCTCTATTTGAGTATCCCTGCCCTAACCCTGATACACCTGGACTCTAGTCTCTAAATATAAAATACAAATAATGGCCTCAATTAAGGAATGGGCCCTAGTCAAAAGTAGTGCACTTCATAGGGAATAGGGTTCCATTTCAGACACAGCCATGGAGGTAAGTCATTTGATGTCAGTAAAGCTGATAAACATTATGAAATAGCAGAGTAGCATATGCCCTACTATTAGCCCTGCTAACCCACATAGAGATAATAAGACTAACCAATCATCTCTGTGGTATAACCTGACCTCTCTGTCCCCCCCTGCCTTCATCCCTGCAGGCACACACTCACTGAAGACGCACACACACACACAAACACACGCACACACACACAGACAGGTGAGTGAGAGACAGAATAATTGTTAGGACACCTAATATGGCAGCTGTGAAGTCCTATGTGACAGACAAGACACTTCCTGGATGATGAACTGTTTTTCTTTGCGTCCCATAATTCCCCCCACCTGCAGTGCCCTTCCCCTGGGCAACTTAATGACTGAAGAACGATTAAACATTTTATCTGTCATTCAAGTTGGATTAATTTAGTCCAATCATTTGCATCACAAATGGCACCCTATTCCCTATATGTGACAGCCTGTCCCAACGGGGGCTTATGTCGAAAAACCCTAAATACTTTTTTTTTTTTTTTTTACAGATTACAAAAATTCTGATTCTGATCTCCAAAATGGTATAACATACACTGTGATTGTAGGAAGCTTGGGAAAGTTATGCTACTTTAAAAGTTGATACACTTTTAAACTTCGAAATGTGACTTTTGGAGAAATGGAACGATACAGAGCAGCAGGAGCAACCCAGAGTGTCAAAAACACTTCGGAAAATGTGATGTTTGAAGAAACATGGATAAACATCTAATTCTGCAGTGAGACTGTAAAAGCTTGTTGCTTAAGCCATAGATCCACCCACCTCTTTAGGAATTCACATGTAACTGCATGGCCAACCGTCAGCATGGTCAACCCCTCCATGATTTCTTTTTTTTACGGCCCTTATGTGAAGTAGGAACTAGCGTCATCCGCCCCCGTTGGGCTGGCATATCACATATAGTGCACTACCTTGGACCACTATGGGCCCTGGTGAAAGGTAGTGCACGTATAAAGCCTCAGACCATTCTCACAGTGGTTGGTATGTCTTTTGTTACCTGTACCTGACCACCACACTCGCTCCAATTTCTAAGAATGTAGAATTGACCATTATCTGACAAAATAATTATCACTGATCTAAAATCTGATTGTACAAATACAACACCTCCTTTTAAAAAGTACACAACATTGTTATGCATGCCACATCTCTGTGCTGCACTAAAAGGTTTATTGTAGCCTGAGAGTTTATGAAAAAGACAGTGTAATGTGATGTTTCTCAGCTCAACATAAAGTGAAGTGTCGCTTTGGGAGCGATTCAGACATGTTTTATAACGAGAGGGCAGTATGCTACAAGGTCTGATGAGTCAGTTGGTGTGTGTGTTTGTGTGTTTCTCTCTGTGTGTGTGTGTGTGTGTGTGTGTGTGTGTGTGTGTGTGTGTGTGTGTGCGCATAAGTGTGCACTTGTACTGTATGCATGTGTGTGCGCATGCGGGCCTGCTTTTGTGCTGCCTGCAAGAGTGTGTGTGAAACAGTGTGTCATTGAGCTCCACTCAGCAACACTGAGCTCCACTGAGCTCCACTGCCTCAAAGGTCACTCTGTGGTAGAGAAAGGTTCCCATCTGAATGAATTTACAATGAATCCTGCTCTGAAGTCATGGGTGCAGAGAGAGGATGAGAGGGGAGGGTTTTTTCCCTCTCATAAGATATAAGAGGGTACAGGAGAAAAGAGAAGATGTTGGTGAGGAAAGGAAAACGATGAAAACTCCACAGTGAGAGAATTCCCACATGGTGAATGTTTAGCAATATTTGTTACATTGCGATCTACTTATGTTCAGTTCATAACAACACAACATAAGACACATTTCCCAAGTGAATGAGCAAATGATTTCACTATCTCCCCATGTATTAAATCGATCTTGAAAAACATGGAGTGAAGACCATGTGAACGCCCTGTAGCTAATCCTAGTATTCTCTCTCTGTATCTCTCTCTCTCAATCTACAGTACCAGTCAAAAGTTTTGGCACACCTACTCATTCAAGGGTTTTTCTTTATTTTTACAATTTTCTACATTGTAGAATAATAGTGAAGACATCAAAACTATGAAATAACACATATGGAATCATGTAATAACCAAAAAAGTGTTAAACAAATCAAAATATATTTTATATTTGAGATTCTTCAAAGTAGCCAACCTTTGCCTTGATGACAGCTTTAAACAATCTTGGCATTCTCTCAACCAGTTTCATGAGGTAGTCACCTGGAATGCATTTCAATTAACAGTTGTGCCTTGTTAAAAGTAAATTTGTGGAATTTCTTTCCTTCTTAATGCGTTTGAGCTAATCAGTTGTGTTGTGACAAGGTAGGGTTGGTATACAGAAGATAGCCCTATTTGGTAAAAGACCAAGCCCATTTTATGGCAAGTACAGCTCAAATAAGCATAGAGAAACGACAGTCCATCATTACTTTAAGACATGAAGGTCAGTCAATATGGAGAATTTCAAGAACTTTGTAAGTTTCTTCAAGTGCAGTCGCAAAAACCATCAAGCACTATGATGAAATTGGCTCTCATGAGGACAGCCACAGGAAAGGAAGACCCAGAGTTACCTCTGCTGCAGAGGATAAGTTCATTACAGTTACCAGCCTCAGAAATTGCAGCCCAAATAAATGCTTCACAGAGTTCAAGTAACAGACACATCTCAACATCAACTGTTCAGAGGAGACTGCGTGAATCAGGCCTTCATGGTCGCTGCTGCAAAGAAACCACTACTAAAGGACACCAATAATAAGAAGAGACTTGCTTGGGTCAAGAAACACGAGCAATTGACATTAGACAGGTGGAAAACTGTCCTTTGGTCTGATGAGTCCAAATTTGAGATTTTTTTTGAGGAGGAGGTGTGATGATGTGGGGGTGCTTTACTGGTGACACTGTTGGTGATTTATTTAGAATTCAAGGCACACTTAACCAGCATGGCTACCACAGCATTCTGCAGTGATACGCCATCCCATCTAAAGAAAAAACCCTAAATGAGTAGGTGTGTCCAAACTTTTGACTGGTACTGTATGTCTATTTTTCTCTCTCTCTGTTCACACAGTATTTTCAGTACTGAAACGCTACCAGGCATTGAACAGCCCACAACCCACTGCTCTAATCTGTATATCATTATTAAGCCTGGAAGGGGAGGATTCTGGATGAAATGGAGGAGGATGCTAGGACTTTGGCCTTTGGTTGATATAAAGTGCATGTCGGTAGAGAACACATTTTGTTTAGTGACATCCATTTGTGTGAACAGCGAACAGAAGGGGCAGAGAGAGAAGAATAGTGCTTGATTAATAATTCAACGGAGGATGTGCTTTATAAACAGTGAGAGATTAAATATGTAGAGGAGCACAGTGTACTGTACCCTCACTACCCTACAGACCTGGGTTCCAACACTATTTGAAATACTTTATCTGGGCTTGAATGAGCTGTCCTGGTACAATGGAACCAATGGAGTAGTCACAATGATGAAAACTCTGCCAATCTGGCACTCCAGGCAGACTAGAGGAAATGCTAAAAACATTTGGTCTGCTATCCTCCACAGCCCTCCCAAGGTCTAGCTAGCTGAGCAAATCCCAACCCAGCTGGGAAAAGTCACCAGGGCCCAGATTCACAAAACATTCTTAAGAGTAAATTTATTCTTAACTGCAATTTTTTCCTTAACTATAGACTTATGAAGAAAGTTAAGCAAAGTTGCTATTCCTCACAAAGGTTATTGGAAATTCTCTTGCGCTATTTCTTATGTTTCTCCTTAAGCAAAAAGTTAACAAGAAATTAGATTCTTGAAAATAAAGTTATTGGACATTTTCTTAATTCCAAGATAGCTAAACCCTTGTCTTAAACTCAGGGCAGTGAGAGAAAAATTTCATGAAAGCAATTGAACATGTTTAATTCACTCAATGATTTCCATTGCTAGCTAGATAGCTAGCTAAAATGGTTGCCTAGCAACAACTCTAAAGATTTGTAAGAAGATATTTGAGAACTTTGTAAGAAAATCTATAAATCTTAAGATATTGTTGAGGAATTGCACTTCCAAACTATCTTATGAACTTCTTTTTTTTCTTAAGAAGCTTCTTATGTTTTTGCGTAAGAAGTGTTTTGTGAATCTGGACCCAGGTTTTGTTTTATTCCCCCCACCCTCTCATTCTTAAGTTTATCCTGAGACACTGCTTTGGACGTCATACGTATTTCCTCTCTCTCTCTCTCTCTCTCTCTCCTCTCTCCTCCCCTCTCTCTCCTCTCTCCCCTTCTCTCTCTCTCTCTCTCTCTCTCTCCTTTTCTCTCTCTCTTCTCTCCCCTCTCTCTCTCCATCTCCTTTCCTCTCTCTCTTCCCCTCTCCTTTCTCCTCTCTCTTCTCTTTTTCTCTCTCCTTCCCCACCCTCTCTCCCTCCCCCTCTCCAGCAGCTCTCCAGTAGCTCTCCCTCTGGACTCACCACGCCACTTGACCCAGCTATAGCGTGCTCCTTTCAGAGTCTCCTCCACAGCCTGGCTCTCCATCATTTTCAGGCGTGCTGCAGAGCCCGCAGACCATGACAGGCCTCTCTTCTACTGACAGTCAGCCTACTGAAGGTCCTGAAGAGGCCTGCTACTCTTGAAAGCTTCCTGGCCTCCTTTGTTTGAAGCATAAATTGAGCCGACATTCAGCAAACCGCCTCTGCCCCTTTCTTTCTGTGCGCCTCTAACAGTTTGAATGGGCTGGGATTCCTCTCGGTGTATATCACTTGATCCAATGCATCTTGGTCCCCCACGCAGTCACTAAGGCTGTACTCTGGAGGCTATTTATAGCCCTGCCATTGTCTGTAGGTCTGACTGGACGGATGAACATACAGTAAAATACTGGCTCTGGCATCGATCCACTGTACTGTACAATATTCCCCACAGACCCTTGGGGAGCAGCATGCTAACTCTATGATCTGCAACACTTACTGTTGGATCAAAAGGAGCAATGATTTCATGATCTCAATCATCTGAAATACAAATCCTAATGTGAATAATGAAGTTATTTCAAGGTAACACTTAGGATGAAATTGTGATCAACAATTTGATATAGCTGTACGAAATCACAAAGTCCTATATTAGGCGAATATGATCACGTTTCAGAGAGGCAACCTGAGAATAGCAGTAGCTAATAACATCTCACAAGCCCTCCCCGGCCCCCATATTTCACAAAGCTATCCATCACCAAAACACGGCCAGTGGGTTTGACTGAATTCAAACCCAGGGACATAAATGCCGCTTTATGGTTGCTCCTATGTTGCATCTGCTAGGCTGTGAGTCCAGCGTCAGTGTGGAGGATTAAAAACACCCAGTGACTGGTACACTGCAACAGCAGCTCTTTACATTCTGGTCACACTCACAGATGAAAGCCTGAGCCTCCTTGAATCATAAGGGCTGAATTATAGCGGGAAATACATCTCCCATCTCCCAGCCTTTAATTGGCAACCTGCAAATATGCACAATGTTGATTTACTCAACCTTTTCCCCAGCCTCCTCAACGTCCATTAAGGAGGATTTCTGACCTGGCTCTCTGCAGAGAGGGAGAGAATATAATATAATATAAACTAATCCAGGTTCTTAACCTCACCAATTTAGTCAACATCTCATCTAACATCCGTTTATGGACAATTCACTAAAGTATTAAGGACAATGAGGAGAGCTTTCACCACAGTATAAGCCTACCAAATAAACAAGAAGTATAAGAATATAGCGGTAGTTTGCGGGACACAGATGAAGCCTAGTCCTGGACTAAAAATACAGCTCAATGGAGAATCTCCATCAAAAAGAGAAGCTGCCTGCCTGCCTGGCACGTACAGTACAACCACAAAAGGCCTAGAGACTGAACATCCCTAATGTGGAGGGTTTTACTAAGCCATTCCAACAGCTTCCTCTACTGTGTCTGTCCATCTAATTTCATCCCTTGCTCCAGCCCTTCACTCCACCGTTAAATCTTTAGTATGCGCATGCAGTGTTCTCAAGGTCTGTGTGCTTATCTATAGAAAAAGGTGTGAGAGGGAAAAAGGGCCTGCTTTGGAGAGTTTCATTATCAGTGAATGGAAGGAAAAACTGATGTGTTGTGTTTCCCACGCACCCCTTTTGACCAGGTATTCTGAAAGAACCACTCGCCAAAATGGAAATACTGCCTCTATCAATTGGGCACTGAATTGTTGCGCGGCAGACATGATGGAGATGTAAAGCTTGACCTGCCAAGACGCTTTTAGGTGTGATTACTGTAAAGAACTGAGCGAGCTGCATTACTCACAATGTAATGACAAACAGGAGCACGGGCCTCAGTGAAGGATCAGGGGCAATAAGAGGGGTAGAGAGAGAGAGAGAGAGAGAGAGAGAGAGAGAGAGAGAGAGAGAGGAGAGAGAGAGAGAGAGAGAGAGAGAGAGAGAGAGAGAGAGAGAGAGAGAGAGAGAGAGGGATAAAGAGTGAGAGGTAGGAAGAGCGAGAAGAAAAGAGAGGGGGAGATAGAAACATATAGAAAGAGAGATGAACAGAAAAAGGTCAGAGTATGTGGAAAAGGAAAATCTTGCTTACCTCCAGGTGAGGCGCGGGGTTGAATCCACACAAGTTGCAGACCTGGGTGTGGCACTGGGTGCAGGAGTTGTAGTTGGGCGGCTCAGCTGTGCTGCCGATGTTGAGCTCCGTCTTGCACAGGGGGCAGTTGACTTTGGGCTTCTCGGGCTCCACCGGCTTGGGAACAGGCTCCTGTCTGGCGGGCTGCTGCCGCTGCTGTTGTTGTTGCTGTGGTCCCTTCTGATGATGCACAGGTGATTGCTGCTGTTGGGGCCCTTTCTGAGTTGACCGCTCGGGGCCACCCATTTGTGGTGCATACGGGCCACCAATCTGAGTTGGTGCATGCGGTCCACTCATTTGCGGTGCATGAGGGCCACCCATCTGTGGTGCATGAGGGCCACCCATTTGGGGTGCATGTGGGCCACCCATCTGGGGTGCATCAGAGCCACCCATTTGTGGTGCATGAGGGCCACCCATTTGGGATGCATGTGGGTCACCGATCTGGGGTGCTTGCGGGCCACCCATTTGCGGTGCATGAGGGCCATCCATCTGTGGTGCATGGGGGCCACCTGTCTGGAATGGTTTGGCACCAGGAGGTCCTTGTTGTTTCTTGGAAGGCCCACCCCTGGCAGGGGAGGGCTGGGAGGATGGTGTCCCTGAGAGGGGGTCCACAGAGGCCAGGGTGCTGGCCGCCTGGTTGAGTAGCGACGCCCCAAAGCCAAACAGTTTGGTCAGGCCGTCCTGGGGCGGTTGCCCATGTGGGGCGGCGTGTCGATGGGATGGCGACGAGCCAGCGCTGGCAGCCTGGCGGCCGCCCTGGTGCATCGGGGAGCCTCGGCCAAGGTCTGGCTGGGAGGGAGCCTTGACCATGCCCACCAGGGGGACTGCCCCAGGGTGGGGGATCCGAGGCTGGCCGGGACCTCCAGGCCCTCTCTGGCCATATGGGATGTGCTGTGGGGAGCTTGTCGTTGACCCGGGTAGGGAGGCAGAGCCGGCTACAGGGTGTCTCTGTAGGCCAGGAGAGGGCTGTGGCTGATGCTGAGCTTGGGGTTTGGACCTGAGGTTGGGTTTGGCCATAAGGCTGTTGCTGGGGCTGGCTTTGGCCGTAGAGCTGTTGCTGGGGCTGGGATTGACCATATGGCTGGGGCTGAGTTTGGCTGTAGGGCTGTTGATGGGGCTGGGATTGACCATAGGGCTGTTGCTGAGGCTGGGAATGGCCATAGGTCTGGGATTGACCATATGGCTGGGGCTGAGTTTGGTTGTAGGGCTGTTGCTGAGGCTTGGATTGACCATAGGGCTGGGGCTGAGTTTTGCCAAAGGACTGGGGCTGGGATTGACCATAGAGCTGGGCCTGGGACTGGGATTGACCATAGGGCTGGGCCTGGGGCTGGGATTGACCGTAGGGTTGGTGGTGGGGCTGGGAGTGAGGTATTGACTGTGGTGGGGGCTGGGCCTGGGGCTGAGGCTGGGGTTTTGGCTGGGCTGCTGGCTGAGCTGGCTGAACAGGTGGTGGCTGGACTATGGGTTTGGCTTGGTGGGATGGAGAGTGGATCTGCTTCTGGCTCTTGGAGCGTGGGGTGGTCATGTCAATACCCAAGGCCCTCTGCATCTGGCAGTTGAGACAGAGCCACTCCTGGACCTAGGGAAGACAAACAAGAGAACATAGTTTGTTAACAATACAATTACATCAATTAATTTATCCTTTTTCATCTTTTACAACGAAGCAAGTATATGTAGTTGGTCAATCTTTACTCTCATCGGAACCTTCGGATAAGTATTTAGACCCCTAGACTTTTTCCACATTTTGTTACATTACAGCCTTATTCTAAAATGTATTTATAAAAAATAAAAAATCCTTATCAATCTACACACAATACCCCATAATGACAAAGCAAAAACAGGTTTTCAGAAATGTTTGCAAATGTATTAAAAATAAACAACTGAAATATCACATTTACATAAGTATTCAGACCCTTTACTCAGTACTTTGTTGATGCACCTTTGGCAGTGATTACGGCCTCTAGTCTTCTTGGGTATGACGCTACAAGCTTGGCACATTTGGGAGTTTGGGAGTTTCTCCAATCCTTCTCTGCAAATCCTCTCAAGCTCTGTCAGGTTGGATGGAGAGAGTCGCTGCACAGCTATTTTCAGGTCTCTCCAGGGATGTTAGATCGGGTTCATGTCCAGGCTCTGGCTGGGCCACTCAAGGACATTCCCTAAGCCACTCCTGCATTGTCTTGGCTGTGTGCTTAGGGTTATTGTCCTGTTGGAAGGTGAACCTTCACCCCAGTCTGAGGTCCTGAGCGCTCTGGAGCAGGTTTTCATCAAGGATCTCACTGTACTTTGCTCCGTTCATCTTTTCTTGATCCTAACTAGTCTCCCAGTCCCTGCCGCTGAAAAACATACCCACAACATGATGCTGCCACGACTATACTTCACCATAGGGATGGTGCCAGGTTTCCTCCAGACGTGGCTCTTGGCATTCAGGCAAAATAGTTCAATCTTGGTTTCATCAAACCAGAGAATCTTGTTTCTCATGGTCTGAGAGTCCTTTAGGTGCCTTTTGGCAAACTACAAGCGGGCTGTCATGTGCCTTTTACTGAGGAGTGGCTTCCGTCTGGCCACTCTCCCATAAAGGCCTGATTGGTGGAGTGCTGCAGAGATGGTTGTCCTTCTGGAAAGTTCTCCCATCTCCACAGAGGAACTCTGGAGCTCTGTCAGTGACCATCGGGTTCTTGGTCACCTCCCTGACCAAGGCCCTTCTCCCCCGATTGCTCAGTTTGGCCGGGTGCCAGCTCTAGGAAGAGTCTTGGTGGTTCCAAACTTCTTCCATTTAAGAATGATGGAGGGCACTGTGTTCTTGGGGACCTTCAATGCTGCAGAAATATTTTGGTACCCTTCCCCATATCTGTGCCTCGACACAATCCTGTCTCGGCGCTCTACAGACAATTCCTTCGACCTCATGGCTTGGTTTTTGCTCTGACATGCACTGTCAACTGTGGGACCTTATATAGACAGGTGTGTGCCTTTCCAAATCTCTTTGCTATGAGCTCAATTTTGAGTCTCATAGCAAAGGGTCTGAATACTTATGTAAATAGGGTATTTCAGTTTTTTACATTTCTAAAATCCTTTTTTCGCTTTGTCATTATGGGGTATTGTGTGTAGATTGATGAGGATTTTAGAATAAGGCTGTAACGTAACAAAATGTGGAAAAAGGGAAGGGGTCTGAATACTTTCCGAATGCACTGTATGTTTCCTTTGTCCAAGTTTTGACCTATGGGATTGAAGAAAGTCCCTTTACAATTAAGTAATCACCAGTAGCAAATCAACCAAAAATGGACTGCAGAACAAACTGATTTCAGAGTAAATAACCTCAGTACTAGATTCACCACAGGATCTAGAGATAAGGAGCTCCCAGCTCCTCCTCCTCTTCCAGATCCAGGTAGATCCTTCCCTGTGTCCAAGCCTGCTTTCCCACTCTCTCTCCAGCAGGAGAGAAGCGCCGCTCCAAGTTGGCTAAACCAGCCTCCACTGCCCCATCATTTCTCACGTATTCTATTTGTACTCCTCTTCTTCTCTTCGCTCTAATCACGGAAATGTAGGTCTCCTTCCTTGAATATTAATTGACGGTAATTTGAAAGTCAAATTTTTTTCACCTCTACTGCTACCATCCTGCGAATCAGGTTGGATAGCATTGATGTTTATGAGTGTCTGAGTCCTGTAGCTCTGCGCATGGCGGGGAGCAGTCAGAAAGCCAGGTCCGCGAAGAGCAAATAGTCAGCATTTTAGAGGCAGCTCTTCAACACTGATCATGTCAACTCACCTAGTTCTCTGGTCTCACATAGGCCCAGAGAAAAGGTAGCCAGGCAGGCAGTTATATAGGGAAGGAACTACATGAAACCGGTAGCGTCAGGTTTCAGCAGCATCACTAGCTAACCATATACAGTACAAGACTCTTGGGAATGGCCTGTGATCTGGCGTTCCTATCAAGCACCCTTTGCAACATTACTTATTGTAGCCTATTGACATGTGATTTTGGTGGGTCAGTGTTGGACTGTCGAGCACAGAGTAAGGTTGAGAGACGGTTTTTGCTGAGGTGGATTGACTGTGCAGAACATGGCAGCGTAGCTTGTAGTGTTGTTTGAGTCAAATCAGAGATGGTTAGCGAACTGATCCGTTGCCAGTATTGTGGAATAATTCTAATGTTAAGTAGGTGGCGGCATGCATATTAAATCTGGTCGAATGCCATTATATCAGAGAAGAAGAAGACGTGATTTCTTACTCAAAACTTCAGGACCCTAGCCAAGGCCATCCATTTCCAGACTAACCTTATGGGAGGCCCTCTTAAATGTGCGAACCCCTCATGCTTTTTGCCTGGTCCCAGATCTGTATGTGTGTTTACCGTAGGCAACTGGTCTGACTATCGTAGTTGGCAAAATCACATACAAATCTGGGACCAGGCAACTCTTCCTCTGCACACACACATGCAAGCACATATGCACAAACACGCATGCACCTACCTACATACTCACACACACACACACACACACACACACACACACACACACACACACCACACCCCACCCCCCCCCCACTTTGTGTCCTGATTGTCAGTCATTTATCCAGGGGGTCACTTTAAACTAATCAAACGAATCCAGAGGTAATCCTCCTCTCCCTGTGTTCTGTCTCTCCATCTCTCCCTGTCTCTCCATCTCTCCACAGTCTCTCTCTGTCTCTCCATCTCTCCACAGTCTCTCTCTGTCTCTCCACACTCTGAATGGAAGGATGGAAGACGGAGGTGTTCTGTTCTAATCATCCAAGGCCTTATCAGAGCATCTCAGCCCGTCTCCATGCGCCCTCCCATCACTCCTCCAGAGCAGTGGAGCAGCGTGAGGGAGTACTCAGGAGCTCTAATTTCATCTGTCATTAATTACTGGGACAGTGGGAGACAGCAAGGAATTGCAAGTCTCTTTTTTGATGGTAGTGTGTCTAAAGCTATTAGTTGTATACATGTAAACAAACACACTGACAGATCAGCCTTAACAGACTAAGAAGCGGTCGGAATGTCATTGTTTGTGGAAAATAATGTCTGACAGCGTACGCCGGCAAATGTGGCAATTTCCGTGGCCTGTAGACTTGCATACTAGTGTGAGGCGCAGGCAAAAACTAGCTTCACGCTAATTCACACCAGCTGACACCCATGAAAAATTAATGAGACAGGTTAGGAAACCCAGCTACTGCTAAACAAACTAAATGGTAAGACCATAAACACACAGATGTTCAATATCCTTCTTATTAGTAGACGGTTAACAGTATAACTACCTATAAAAGTAGAGTAACTAAGCACTGTGCTAGTATGTCAACATCCAGGATATAGAGCTGACAGGTGACACACACACACACAGTAGTGGTGGTGCGTTGGTGGTTGTGGTGGTGGTGCTGGTGGGGGTGGTGCTGGTAGTTGTGGTGGTGGTGGTTGTGGTTGTGGTGGTGCTGGTGTTGTGGTGGTGGTGCTGGTGGTGGTGGTGGTGCTGGTGTTGTGGTGGTGGTGCTGGTAGGGTGGTGCTGGTGGTTGTGGTGGTGGTTGTGGTGGTGGTGCTGGTGGTTGTGGTGGTGGTTGAGGTGGTGGTGGTGGTGCTGCTGGTGGTTGTGGTAGTGGTGCTGGTGGTTGTGGTTGTTGTGGTGGTGCTAACTGAGGCGTATCATTGAGAAACAGCAGGCCGCTCCAGAAAAGCTCATTACCCACTCTGTCAGAGGAAAAGGCTACTATACATCAGATCAGTCATAGCACCACCAGGCCTTTAATAGAGCTGCCCATCAACCAGCCATCCCCCTCGCAACTCAGGTGTGTGGATCAGAGAGCGAGAGAGAGGGAGAGGGATGGACTGAGGGAAGGAGAAAGAGAGAGAAAGAAAATAAAAGACAGAGTGAAATGGAGAGGGAGCGAGGGAGCAAGAGAGAGAGAGTGAGAGAGAGAGAGTGTGTCTGTGTTTGTGTGTGTCCTGGCGCTTGTGTATGCTGGCGAGCGTGTGCACGCGCGTTTGTGTGTACGTGCGTGTCTGTGTCTTTTCATTCTTTCCAATCTCGTTTTAGGGAAGCAGCCAGCCAGCCAGCATGGTTCAAGGGCAGCTGAGATTGAACTGCAGGCTGTTACAAGTTCTGGCCAGTCCATCTTTACTGCTGTTTAGGATGAGTCAGTCAGAACACTTCACTCTTTTATACTCTCCAAAAGTGTATTTCTCTCCATGGAGAACTTCAATGTAGTCTTTCTCAATCATACAGGTCAATTATTTAGAGTGCACTCCGTTTCTATCCCAGCTGGCCCATTTAGTTAATTGGAAGTTGTGGGAACGTATGTTTTTGGTTTCCCAGTGGTTCTGGGAACGAAGCCATAAGTTTCCTGACCGGTAAAATGTAACGTTTTTTAAACGTTCTGAAAACGGAAGTGAAAATATCTGCTGTTCTGGGAACATTAATTTTTAGGTTGCAGAGAGGTTCTGAGAAAGTTTTACTATGGTTCCCTGAAAGTTTTTCTGGGAGGTTTTATTAATGTTCTGAGAACGGAAATGATTTAGGTTATTTGAAGATAATTAATGAACGTTCTGAGAACATGTTTCAATAAGACTTTTAATAACACTGTTATCTTAATTTGGGTTAACTGTTTTGAACTTGAGGAACAGATAGGACACATGGAAATTAATTTGCTTAGGCATTAATCATGCAAACACATTACTTTTTTTTATTGTGGCACGGTGTCTGTGAGATTCGAACCTCTGTTCTTCTGTCCTCTATCCATGGAATTAGTCCACTGCGCCACCAGAATGGAGCTGGCATGCCATGTTTTTTTTTAACTCATACAAAACTGTTCATTTTAGTCTATTCAAACAGACTCCATTTCAAAAGAAACAAGCACTCATTAAGATCAAGTGTGGCCAATTAGCGGGCGCGGCCAACACACCTGAACACACTTAACAGGATAGAGAGAGTTTTGTTGGCACCGAGAACAGAATGTATATAGTTTTAAATAACATTCTTAGAACGTTCTTCGAACGTTACTAATGTTTTCTTGTGGTTTTTCTGGAAAGTTTTCTTAATGTTCTGAGAACATTACTTTAAATAGAACCATGAGGAAATCTGCAGAAAACCTTATGCTGAAGTACTGAAATTCCCACCTAAGAAACATATGGTTCTCAGAACTTTATGCGCTAGCTATGTATATATTCATTTACTTCATTTTATTTATACTCAAGAAGTACTAACCTTGTCAATCACTCGAGGTAGCATTTTGTCAATGCATGTTATTGAGCACAATAATTAATAATTATTTGTACTTTTCTATTTGATATGCCCCCCCACACTTTGCTGATAAATACTTTGTTGAGGGAAAATGTACTTGATAAGATTGTGATGTGTTGTTGTCTCACCTAGCTATCTTAAGATGAATGCACTAATTGTAAGTCGCCCTGGATAAGAGTGTCTGCTAAATGACTCAAATGTACAATTATATGGTAGTCTATATATTGTTGCCTTTGTACACATTTATCAAAGGTGTGGAAAAGAATAAAGGGACTGTAGAGTATGTGAGTCAATACACTGATACATTCCCTTAAACATCCAGAACAGAACAGAGGCTCCCTATTACCTACAACTTTTGACCAGAGCCCTATGGACCCTAAAGTAGTGCACTATGTAGGGAATAGGATGCCATTTGGGATGTGTAATGGTGATGAAGCACCCTATTCACACCCTAATAATGTGTACACAGTGGACAACAGATGACTACCATTATAATTAATAATCTTCTGCCTCATTATGGCTATAGACCGGTCAGTGAGCTGGATCATCTCCCCAGGGAGGAGAACCAGTCAATATGGGACCAGGATCGTGTGCATTATGGAACACAACGGACAAAGTTTTAAAATAGAAAAACCCCAGAGAAGGAGTGTTTCTTATTAGACAACGACCAATCAATTTTCTTCTGTTTGGTGCCTAATGAATACGAACCAGGTCTCTTTAAAAAAGGGTGAATCACTAATTGGCTTACAGTACTGTCTGCTAAAAGGTGGCCTATCACTTTCTGTCGAGTGATCTTTCAAACACCAATCAGAAATGTATGGGTGTGTGTGTGTACATGGGCTAGCCTGACTAGGCAACTCCTTACAAGAATGACACGACAATGATAACCAGAGAAGTTGGCTAAAGCACATACAGTGTGTGATGGATCGGATAACATTTTAAGTATTCTGAATCGATAGTATCTTAGTAATTTATGCGTATTTTGACATTTACCATGACTAAATGATCCACAGTATAAGAGCACTGCAGAATATAGGACTGAATATATAAATTCATTTTTCCCATTGGAAATGTTTGCCTAGAATACTTTAATACCTTTTCTCAGGGGAATTCCTTTCCATTTGGTTAGACAACAGCCCCGTTGTGATAATATAAAAATAATATAAAACTCCATTACAGCAGAGTTCTAGTGAGTCTATCATAATGCTCCCTCAGTGTTTTAAACCTGACAATACGAGTCCAGCAGCGGCCATTTTCTCCAGCTAGCACCAACGCTACCGCTAACGTTCCACATGGCTGTGTTATACTGTACTGTACTGTTGCTCTCTGCTTTAGATGAACAGGAATTGACTGATGTAACAATGAATCTGCATCATCTGAAGATTTCTGTTCCAAACCTTCCACTTTTTCTTCAACTGAAATGTGAAGGTTTTCCTCATTTTCCTCATCCAGTAACACTGTGCCTGTAATTCAGATTAATTTATGTGGGAAAGTAAGATCTGAATAATTGCAAGGAACATTTTAGATCTCTGAAATAGGATGATAAGGATGACAGTGGTGACAAAAATGAAGGCCTACATTGGATATTTGACATTTCCAGAATATTGAATTTAACAGAGAAAATAATGAATCCCCAAAAAAAAAAAAGAATCCAGAAAAAGCTCAGGCCAAAGGGCACGATGATATCAACTTTTAAAGAGTTTAGAACTCAACTCATCATAGTCCTGTGGATAAAGCGCCCCCGTCTCTCTCTTCCTCTTATTTGAGCTTCAGAGTTGCAGCAGACAGCTTAGTCTCAGCAGGCCAGCGCTAAGAGATGAACTACACACTCAGGTCATTCTCAATCTCACTGGAATGACTACTGGGTCACCCCAAGTCCTCACTGAGGAAGTCAGAAACACTCTCACCTCCCTCAGAGGCTTTAGAATCATAGACACACACATATGTGTTTGCACATGCACTTGCATGCGTGTACAGAAACACTCTCTCTCTTTCCACCACCACCACCACCACCATCACCACCACCAATGCCCCTTTCTCACTCTTTTATCACACCCCAATAACCCCCCTACCCACAGTGTTAAGTACCCTCCTGATTGGTCAATGGCATCGACCAGTATTACCGCATGTTACTTAATTTAAATCTGCCTCAGCACTTTGTCTCGCTCCGACTGGCTGATTGTTAAAAACCTCACTATGAGCGATGTCACGGCAGATCAATAGTGAATTTCAGTAAGACGGAAAAACAATACCCTAAACAGAACCCAGCCAAGGAGGGTTAGGGGAGGAGGGGACCGGGGGATTTTGTATTCATGTTTTAAATGCGATGTGGTTCCAGAAGCGTGCTCGCTACCTTTAAAGTGTTTACAGTGACCAATCAATGTGTGTGTCTTATCAAAGGGAGGGAGTTCTGAAACACAGACGGACAGACAGACAGACAGCAGCCTTCAGGCTGGAACGTGACTGGAGGGATTCGAGGAAAACACACCTTAACACCTTAGTTATCACTAAGAACCAGCTTTGGGTCGGTCTTTCAACATGTCCAAAATGCTATTTTCCTCGATCGATGGCCGCCTCTGGTTTTGGTACATGTTTCTCCCCACTGTGTGAAGGGATTGGAGATCAAAACAATGGTGAGATGGTGCAGGCAGGCAGGTAGGCAGGGATGCAGGCAGGCAGGGAGGCAGGGATGCAGGCAGGCAGGCAGGGATGCCAGAAGAGGCGTCATACTGAAATAACCTGTCTAATTAAGCTTGTAGTCTGTCCGTGACCAGCTTTGCTGACCATCAAAAAACGACTGCTGTCAGACTCGCTGCGAACAGCGATGAAGACATCTTTGAACAGGGCATCAGGCATAAAACATGAAAGCGCTCATGAGTAATGCCTTTCTATCAAACTTGCCGCAGCTATTCAAGCTATTTGACTTGCATGTCAAGTAAAGAGAGAAAATACACAACACATTAACTGTTTGTAATCGAAACCCTGTTCAACTGATAAAGAAAATAAAGATGGTGATCAGTGACAATGAAAACTGCATGTACTCTGTAGTTGTGCATGAACTGTGCAAGTCTAGGCCTTAGCACATACAGATTTGGATCTTCATTTGATCACCCTGTTGCAGGAAAACTTTAAAACATTTAAGGTTTAAAAAACTGTCACGACTTCCTCCAAAGCTGCCTCCTCTCCTTGTTCGGGCAGGCTTCGGCATTCGTCGTCACCGGCCTTCTAGCCGCTCCTCTTTTCATCATTCCATTTGTTTTGTCTTGTTTTTCACACACACCTGGTACATATCCCCTCATAAATCTCTGTATAAGTATTCCCTCTGCTCCCCATGTCTTTGTGTGTTATTGTTTCCATGTGGAGGTGTCGCTAGCTCGGTTGAGCATTCATGTTACTTTTGTCGCCGGGATATTCACCCGTGTGTTTTGTTTTCCCAGTGCGCATTGAAGTCGCACTGTATTTGGTTTTCGCATTGCTGCAAACTGCTGCATTGGACGAATAAACCATATTCGGTGATTCACACCTCCTGCGACTGACTCCGTCCTAATCACCCGCTACAGAATCACACACCCAACAGAATGGAGTCAGCAGGAGCGGGGAATATGCCTGGAGCCTTTGAGCGGTTCCGGGAGCATTCCAATATGTTAGCCAGCTTGGGCGAAGTGATGGATCGGGTTCTCCAGGCCGTCCAGCGCCTGAAGAGGAGAGGACCCGATCCTGCAAAACCAGCTGAGCGACCGGATCCAGCCAACCACACACCAGCAATTAGATCTACTAGAGAGCGTGTGGAAAAGGAATATAAAATGATATTTACAATAATCAAACAAAACCAAAATGTTGATTTGAACAATAGATTAGCAAATACAATTATGGAATTTTTCGTTGAAGCAAGGGAACGGTAATAATCGGGGGAGATAGAGAGACGAAATTGGACTCCTGCCCAACCGCACCCTAACTCCCAGAATAAACCTAGAGAGGTTGAAGGTGTCCTTTAAGTAAACAGAAAGTCCAGTGTATCAGAATTAGTGAAACTATGCAAAATGATCATATATCTCTCCCATTACAAATTGATTAGGAGGATATTCATTTTCAACATTCATTTATAGTAAACGCTACAACTACTATGGTGTTCATGGGAAGAAACCTTTTAAGTTAAATCGATGCAACCATTTTTGTTCACCAGATGACATCGAGGTATATGGAACAACAGGCTATTTTATGAACAAAGAGCAGAAAGTAATTTTAATTTGAAAGAGTGCATAATCAATTTTATGAATGTGTATGATAAGTTGATATAAGTTTGGATAATAAGCTTTGATAGAACATTATATTGTGGTTCCGCACATCAATGCCCATCATATGATATCAAGGAGTGGTATGGAGAACGTGAGGTTATTTTAGAGTGTAATGGTGAAGTATATGTTTTAATGAGAGGCTTGACTTTGACAGGGTTTCCTGAAGGTTAGAGAACCGGTGAGGATCCAATGACAGGAAGGTCAGTGTCCTTGAAACTACAGTCAGTTTTTTTGGTTCCGCTGGGAGTATGGTTAAAGAAGTTGATTTCGGTCGATTGAGAATCGTTACAAACACGAAAGTATTCTTTGACGTGAGTACCTAGAAGTTTCTAACGTTCTATATGGAGTTTGTGACGATGTGGAAATAGGATGTAGTTTATGTGGGTAATCGATTACTCTAAGTGAGAGAATCATAATTAGAGTGCTATGTATGTATTAACTTGCTCACCCAAACGTAGACGTACGTCATGGGTGGGTAATAATGAATACAGGTTTTCTAAGTTGTACCGTTGTTAGATCCTTTGATAGAGATACGATTTAAGAAATTAACTGCCCATAAGGAGTGGAATTTATAGACGTAAGTTATAATATTGTACAAAGCTAATTTAGGGTTTCCATTAAACTAATTATCAGTGTGGAGCTAAGGTGGTGAAGTGAAGGAACTTCATTTTGTATCAGAGGGTTAGATGATAAACCAGTGTAATTGGGCTATTTGTGGGATGTCTGTGTCAGTTCAATAGCATTGGTGCAATGGCATAGAGTAAACAAATCTGGGTTTCTGAGTGTAATTCTACTGTTGGTATGTGTTGCTTAGACAGATACTACAAAGTAGTTCAAATGGAAAGACTCACTTATTTAACAGGAATAGCGAGACAATTTTGTGGTAGTCATTTGTTTTGCGTTGCCTACGGGTTTGCTAGATTAAACGATTGAGAATGGTGGCGTAATGTCTATCAATTAATTGGATATTGATAATATGGATATAAATTCATTATATGATGGGCAACTAAAGCAAATGTTTGGTTTATTGCTTGTAGCCTACTTAGAAAGGACAGTTACCTAGATCTGATGCATTCTAATAATGGCGGATTGGTGGTCTCATAAGAGCTGTGGCGATTATCTTGGCTGAGAACAGGAGGAATATAGGAAATTGTAGCTGAGGTCACTACAGAAATTACTTACACAATATCGTAACAGATAAACTGAACCAAACATGAAGCTACTTCAGCAATTTAGGATTGTGAAAGGTGTTAAGTTCGTTTTTAAACCCTACGATAGAGGTAAATGCATAACGCTGTTTGAGAATGGTTTTTATTTGTTGTCTGGAGAGTTTCTAGGTGTTGATCTGTGGGTGTTAGCAGCTGGGGCTCGCTGAAACGTGAGAGAGCTGTACGTGTCATTATGGGTTACGTTTGGTGTATAAGGATCACTGGTTGCTGTGGAAAAGGAGGAAGTCAAAGGGTGATGAATGTTACCAGTGGGATATGGCTAGCTAGTTAGTGGTGCGAACTAGTAGCGTTTAGAGTGGTGACGTAACTTGCTCTGCAACATGGAAATAGTTGTTTGCCTTGCTTTGCAAAGGTTGCGGATTTTGTTGAAATAACGAGTAATGGTGCTTAGAGGGTGACTATTTTTAATGTGTGCAGAGGGTCCCTGGTTCAAGACCATGTAGGGAAGGAAGCAAAACTGTTACATTGATGCTGTTGACCTGAATAACTGCTTTAATTGATAAGATTATAGGAAAGAGATTGTCTTACCAACTCATGAAGGCATTGGATAACATAGTAATTAAAGTTGCATCTCTGTGAATATATGTTTTCTTTGTTTTAACTATAACTTCACAATAATTTGTCATCTGTTAAAGTACCGTTAGATGGAAAGTCAGCAATAGAGGATAATAGAGATTGTAGAGGATTGGATTGTTTGAAGAAGGATGTTTAATTGGGTGATGAGAAATGTTGAATTGGATTGTTTAAGTAGACTGGTGTTAAAATAATTATTTCTAGTAAAGTCTATGAAAATATGTTATTACATAGTAGTGGTTTGTGGATAGAATTGACTAATGCCATGATTTAGTAAGAGGGTGAGAGAAAATATTGATAGTTGGGCTATATATCGGGATATAAAAGACACAGAGGGTGATGTGAAGCACATATCTAGATAGTTACATGGGAAACATTCTTTGACAAATTCTAATTGTTGTTACTTTATTCTATAGTTTGCGTAACACCAGTGACGTATGCAAATAGTTAATGAATTCTAAAGACGATAATCTGTTTATGTCACGGTTTCGGCCGAGGCTGCTCCTTCTCCTTGTTCGGGCAGGCTTCGGCGGTCGTCGTCTCCGGAGTACTAGCTGCCACCGTTCGTTGTTTCTGTGTTTGTTTGGTTTGGTCTGTTTTGGTACACCTGTTTCTCATTTTGTCTTGATTATGTGTCCTTTAAGTTCTCGTTGTTTCTGTCTTGTGGTTGTGTGTAGTTGTTCCTTGTCAGCTGGTGCTTCCAGTCAGTTAGTGCTCTATTTTGTATTGGATAGAGAGTCCGCACTTGTTGAGCGTGTTTGCTGTGTTTTGCATTTATACGCTGTGTGCGTTATTTCTCTCGTGCCTCCGGCTTTGTTTGTAGCCGTTCTTTTTGTGGACTTTACTAAAGTATTTTTGGACTAGCATCTGTGTCCTGCATCTGATTCCTACACCACACCTACGCCCGCTCTGACAGTTTATGGTATGTTGAACAATGGGAGATAGTTTTTACTATTAGTCTTATGGAGTAGTAAACAGTGTTTGTAAGTTCTGGAGTTATTAAACAATAGGGTGTTATTTTAAAACATAAATGCAACAAGTGGAGATGATTACATTACCAAACAGATTTAGGCTTTTGATCATTATTATGAGAATTACAGAGGATGAAGTCTGAAGGGTATTAATTAGCAAATTATCATCGCAAACTCAGAGAACATTGAGTGGTTTTCATCTTTTGAAAGATTTTATGTAATCTTCTTCTGGAGTAGTTATGAGGAATTAGATTAAAACAAACGATTATTGATGTGAGATAGAACAGGGCATATCTGCCTCATATTTTGCATGTAATTAATATTTTTGGATTGCTGATTATAATTGAATGTTAACGACATGTATACTTTATTTTCCAGTAGAATGGGGATTTCCTTATATCTCATTTGGATGTTTCAAAAGTCTGTGGGATAGGTGGAACAGTTAGTAAAATTAGGCAGTCTTATTTTTAGGTCGTAAAAGGGAGCTACCAAATTAAATGAGGCCTGGCCATTTTAGTTATTTGTTTTCCAATTGGGTTTTTCAAATAAACCACACACAACCCACCTAGTATGATGTTTAGATAGGGCTTATTATTTTGATTTTAGGGGGTCTTAAAGGGGCACACACAGAATTTTATGAAGTTTTCTTTTCCTTTGGGAGTAAGTTTTGGGTAAAAAACGTTGATTTCTTTTGAGAAGAAATGTCATGAGGACTTAATGTACACTTGGGATACATAACATTTATGAAATGTTTTGACTGTTGTTAAAGATTAGTTTATACTATAGAATGGTACACTTCTTTAAAGGATTTCAATGACCTCTGAACTCTGTCCTGACTTTCTAGTGTGAATTGATCACCTACACTGGAAAGCCAAAAGGCATGGGATGAGTAATTTATGGTAATTTATAATACAGAGTTGAGGATAATGTATAATAAGGATAATTATGAAGAAGTTTATAATTTGGCAATAGTTATATATATGAATCGTACAAAAAGAAAGACAGAGTGAGTGAGCTAGTTTGGAATGAGAGATAACTATCGCTAGTCAATCTGACTATTCTTGAATTATTTTAATTCAGGCCGGTGGTGGCTGGTCCGCTCCAGGAGTCTGAGGTGCGGGAGGTCCCTCCGCCCCCTCTGGACATCGAGGGGGCCCCGGCGTACTCCGTCCGTTCCATCCTGGATTAGAGGCGTCGGGTGGGGGGCCTTCAGTACCTCATGGACTGGGAGGGGTACAGTCCGGAGGAGCGGTGATGGGTCCCGGTGAAGGATGTCCTCGATCCCTCCCTGTTGCGGGATTTCCAACGTCACCATCTGGATCGCCCTGCTCCACATCCTCCTGGCCGTTCCCAAGGCCGGTGTCGGCGTGCTGCTGGAGCTGCGCGTCAAGGGGGTGGTACTGTCACGGCTTCCTCCGAAGCTGCCTCCTCTCCTTGTTCGGGCAGTCTTCGGCGTTCGTCATCACCGGCCTTCTAGTCACTGCCGCTCCTCTTTTCATCATTCATTTGTTTTGTCTTGTTTTTCACACACACCTGGTACATATCCCCTCATCAGTCCCTGTATAAGTATTCCCTCTCAGTGGCGGCTCCTGAAAAAATTCTCAGGAGGGGCAATTTTTCTGATGATTTAGGTGACCTACACACGTGCACGAGTCCGTGCACGCGATTCCAGATATCTTTACCTCTGAATAAACTGCCTTTATTATACCATATCCACCCTGTCCAAAGTCTCTACTTGGTCTCAGTTCTCCAGTAAACTTGTGATTATCAACAGTACACAACGGTAACAAACAATTGGGGGAACTCACGGGGCAGATAGTAACCACTTAAAAGGAAGCGATTCCCAAACCTTCCATAACAAAGCCATCACCTACAGAGAGATGAACTTGGAGAAGAGTCCCCTAAGTAAGCTTGTCCTGGGCCTCTGTTCACAAACACAAACAGACCCCACACAGCCCCAGGACAACAACAACAACAACAACAACAACAACAACACAATTAGACCCAACCAAATCATGAGAAAACAAAAAGAGAATTACTTGACACATTGGAAAGAACAAACAAAAAAACAGAGCAAACTAGAATGCTATTTGGCCCTAAACAGAGAGTACACAGTGGCAGAATACCTGACCACTGTGACTGACCCAAACTTAAGGAAAGCTTTGACTATGTACAGACTCAGTGACCATAGCCTTGCTATTGAGAAAGGCCGCCGTAGGCAGACCTGGCTCTCAAGAGAAGACAGGCTATGTGCACACTGCCCACAAAATGAGGTGGAAACTGAGCTGCACTTCCTAACCTCCTGCCAAATGTATGACCATATTAGAGACACATATTTCCTTCAGATTACAGCGATCCACAAAGAATTCGAAAACAAACCCAATTTTGATAAACTCCCTTATCTACTGGGTGAAAAACCACAGTGTGCCATCACAGCTGCAAGATTTGTGACCTGTTGCCACAAGAAAAGGGCAACCAGTGAAGAACAAACACCATTGTAAATACAACCCATATTTATGTTTATTTATTTTCCCATTTGTACTTTAACTATTTGCACATTGTAACAACACTGTATATATACATAATATGACATTTGAAATGTCTTTATTCTTTTGAAACTTCTGAGTGTAATGTTTACTGTTAATATTTATTGTTTATTTCACTTTTGTTTACTATCTACTTCCCTTGCTTTGGCAATGTTAACACACGTTTCCCATGCCAATAAAGCCCTTAAATTGAATTGAATTGATAGTAAGGTCGCAATGACACAGAAAGCAGTTCAATGTCGGGGTACAGAGTCGCTCTCTTACCAGGATCGCGGTCCGCTCTGACCAGGGTGAAGGTGGCCGGCTCCACTTCTCTGTCCGGGACTCTGTCATCCAGCCAAGTTTCCCAGCTGTATTGGGATTCAGCTGCCAGCAGCGTTTTCATTGTTTAGTCCGTTCGTAGCGGGTATGTACACGATCAACAAGATCAGTCCAAAACCAACCACTGGAAATCCATGGTTGGCAGAATGTTTGTAAACTAAGTCTACAAATTAAAAACATAAAATAACGCCGCACTGCAGGTCGCAACAGAGACGCTGCCAGCCGCCATTGTCTTAGTTACGTTCAACGTTACGTCACGTATGACGAAAGCGCGTAAGTGCAAGCCCACAGACACCCATAGAGAATGTATTGAAAGCTTTGAAATGTGAAAAAAATAGATTTTACATGACAGGCTATGAGAGACTTCTGGGCGATTTTCAACTTGACTGAAATCGCCCCAAAAACGGGCGGGGCCATTTGAAGCACGACTTCAGCCTGATTTGACATTTAGTGGCTGGCAGATCAGACATGAACACTGATAACTGCTGTTGCCGTGATATAATTGATTAGAAAAAAAATCCCTTCCTTTTCCCGTTTGGCAGTGCGTCGCCCATATCGCCCTATTGAACAAGCCGTCCCTGTTCCCTCTGCTTGTTTCCATGTGGAGGTGTCGCTAGCTCGGTTGAGCATTCATGTTACTTTTGTCGCCGGGATATTCACCCGGGTGTTTTGTTTTCCCAGTGCGCATTGAAGTCGCACTGTATTTGGTTTTCACATTGCTGCGAACTGCTTTATTGGACGAATAAACCATATTCTGTGATTCACACCTCCTGCGCCTGACTCCGTCCTAATCACCCGCTACAATAACTTCCACTTTGACATTTCAGACTTGATTTTCCCTTACGAAAAATGTATCAACCCCTACAAAATGTATATTAAATATAATCCACATAATTATTCATATTTCCTGTTGCTGAAGGATTATTTTCCTGCTGTAGCAAATTGGCTCAAATTAAGATCCTACATCTGTATACCGTAAGTTCCCCAAACTGTGGTAAACTGCACCATTAAGGGAAATGCCTAGAGGAGTCAGTGGGACCCAGCCCAGCAGCCCTTAGTGTTCCCATTGAGGGATCTGATGGAGACTGTGTGTTTCTGTTATATCTTCCCCCTCTCCCTACCTCTCTCTCTACCTCTCCCCTTCTCTCTCCCTCCCCTCTCTCTCTCCCTCCCTTCCCTTCTCCCTCTACCTCTCTCTCTCCTCTCTCCCTACCTCTCTCTCTACCTCTCCCCCTCTCTCTCCCTATGTCCTTCCCTTCTCCCTCTATCTCTCTCTGCTCTCCATCCTGTAGTGTGCTGGCAGTACCATGTGCCAGACAGGCCAGGCTGGAGGACCAGGAGGACTGAGGCTGGGGCAGTGCCAGGGAGAACAGGCCGAGAGGGGCAGCCTCTCTGTGATAGTTCCGCTTGGCTAAATTAAGCCATAATCCTCCTTGTTACATACCAGGGAACAAAACCACAACTGCAACGTTATCTAATGAGCAACGCCTCACTGCTTATCAAGCTGTCCCTAGAACTGGGACTGTTAGCAATATTAGCTAGCTGTTTAGCTTCACTGCCCTAGCGATTAAAAACTATAATCTACTATACTGAGAAAGATGTCTCTGAAATGCAGTTGATTTATTGATCAATTGATCAACTAATTCCTTGTTTAATTGGTTAATCAATGTGAGTTGTGTGCAGTGCCCAGTGCCACTGACCCAGCAGCAGTGAGACTGGCTGTTGAAGGGTCCTTGAAATGGACTTGGCGGCTGCCCAGTCCAGCCAGGTCGTTCAAGATTGACGTCGAAATTGGACGTCTATCCATGTCCTGAGGACGTCGGGAAATCTCTTCAAAACAGGCCACTAGGGGCAACATTGAGCGCCATTACCATCAAGTAGGCTTGGGTTTTGCTAGGACTTTGTGGATGGGGCGTCATCCCACGACTCTGGATCAGAAGGTGCCTCTGGATCAGAAGGTTGCGTGTTCGATCCCAGTCGTGGACACTGGTTTTTTAGTTTAGTTTTTAACCCTATCCCAAACCTTAACCCTTACCTTAACCATTTGGAATGAGTGCCTAAACTTAATGTTTTAACCCTATCCCAAACCTTAACCCTTACCTTAATCATTCGGAATGAGTGCCTAAACTTAACATAGAAATTTGAGGTTTGGTGAAATGGAACGATACAGAGCAGCAGGAGCAACAAAAACACTTCAAAATTTGACGTTTGGAGAAGTGGATGAACGTCTAATTCTGCAGTGAGACTGTGAGAGCTCGTTGGCCCAGTCGGATGCCTGCTCCAGTTGAACTGGCTGTCCTGTGCTCTATCTGGAGTACATTCAGCCCCTGCAGTGGGCTAAACACTGACAGCAGCAACAGCTGTAGCTCAACATATGCTTCTCAATGATTCTCTCAGTGATTCCCACTGTCCTAGTTTTACACCAATATTTATAGGAATACTTTTTCCCCTGGCTGCTTTCTAGACTAGAGGACTCTCTCTCTCATCTGTAGTGGGAGAGAGAGATATTTTCCATTGGCTAAATCCAACGAGTTGGAGAGATTGTCACTGGAGGCTCTAGTCTCTTCATCCTTTTTCCTGTGGTGGAACTGATTTTTCGGAACAGAGTCCTTTGCCAGGGCTGTTGTTGTTATTAAACGTGTCGCTATCAAAATGACTCCAAAAAGAGAGGCTATTAGTTCTAACACACCCACGCATCCAGCGTCAAATATGTTCAACACCGAGCGTCGACGCTACACAGAGGACACAGACACACACACACACAGCCTTGTATATACCGTGACCTTCAGCACCAGCACCATGTTAGTCTCCATGGCAACAGCCTGGCTCTAATGTCAAGGTGTGTGAACCTAGGGGTCATGTGTGAAGAGCGTGGCACACAAACCACACATACACACACACCAGCACCTTACGACACACATTATGAGGACAGAGAGAGAAAGGCTGGAGGATCAAAGAGGTATATGGGAAACACGTGGAGGGAAGAGAAGAAGGAGAGGAAGAAAGACTCAAAGCAAAAAAAAAGAAACATGCACTCCCCCCTCCTCTCACTGGCATGACACTCCCCCCTCCTCTCACTGGCATGACACTCCCCCCTCCTCTCACTGGCATGACACTCCCCCATCCTCTCACTGGCATGACACTCCCCTCTCCTCTCACTGGCATGACACTCCCCCCTCCTCTCACTGGCATGACACTCCCCTCTCCTCTCACTGGCATGACACTCCCCTCTCCTCTCACTGGCATGACACTCCCCCATCCTCTCACTGGCATGACACTCCCCTCTCCTCTCACTGGCATGACACTCCCCCCTCCTCTCACTGGCATGACACTCCCCCATCCTCTCACTGGCATGACACTCCCCCCTCCTCTCACTGGCATGACACTCCCCTCTCCTCTCACTGGCATGACACTCCCCCCTCCTCTCACTGGCATGACACTCCCCCCTGCTCTCACTCACATGACAGCCTTGTTCTAACGCTGGCTGCAGACTCTGGGGCTGCAGGCTGGAGCTACCTTGTAATCTACAGCCTGGGAGGAGGACAGGAGAGACAGAAAAGACAGAAGAGGACTACCTACCTACCGTGCTAATGTTAGCGCTCATAATTACCATGATTATAATTGTTAGTCATCATCATTAGGGTGATAAATATACACATTGTCATTATCCTGTCGCCATCCTGAGCATCATGGCCATCCCCATTGTCGTCATGATCATGATTTTTTTTATTATCTTTTTACGATAATGTTGCATACTGCCCATAGAGAACCTTGATAAATCATCCACATTCACATCTAAATATAAAAAAAGGTATAATAAACCTGCCAACAACATATCCCTATATGAAGTGTCACCTCTGAAAGAAACCTCCAATGATGTATGATTGGGAATAGAAAATATCCAATGTTAAATGGGCTGGAATATTCCTAGCAGCATGGAGGGTTATGAGACGGTTTGCATTCATTTCCATGCTTAACTACGACATTGTTATGCACACCCACTAAACCAGGTGGACCAGGCAGTGATTATCAGTCATTTTCTCTTTCAATCGCTCCCACACACAGTCACCTTTTCAGTGACCAGGATGGGAGGTTAAAAATCAAGTATTATTAAAGTGCAACAAAAATGGCTTAGGTAAAAATGCACCATATCATTTCAAAAACTCTATGGCTATTATTTCTTAACAGGTTTGGAATCCATAAGTTACGCGACTGACTGGTGTATGTTGCATTCTCCACTCTTATATTCTATATCCCCATATCAATTATTGTTTCCTTACATGGAAGTTGGAGGTTTCTAAATAAAATCCCAAGTAAAAAGAGAGTTACAGTCACGTTTGACATTCCATCACAGTAGTCTTCTCTCTCTCGCTCTCTCTCTCTCTCTCTCTCTCTCTCTCTCTCTCTCTCTCTCCTCTCTCTCTCTCTCTCTCTCTCTCTCTGTGTGAGAGGCTGTCTGCAGCAGAGAGAGAGAGTGAGGTGCTGAATGGTGCAGTTAGTGGCAGGCAGGATTTGTGATGCAGATCCGTATCAACTCAGAGAAGCGGGCAAGGAAACATCAAAATAACTCACTTCAATAAGCTTAAATGTGGCTTCACACACACCCAAATTCTGTCTCCTTCCTTCTCCCTGTCTCTTCCGTCCTCTCCTTCCTTCTCCCTCTGTCTCTTCCGTCCTCTGCTTCCTCTCTCCAGTGCCTCTCTATCTCTCTAGCTATCTGTCTCACCTCACTCTATCCCACTCCCCCTCTTCTCTCTTCCTAAAACACACACACAGGCTGGTATGCACATACGCACATGCACAAACACACACACACATACATACATACACAAACACACACACTGGCTGGTGCGCCAACACACATTTCTCGAGTGCATTCTGTAGCTATGAATCCTCTTTCCACTGCTGGATGAGTATAACATATTCATACCCAGTAAACCTATGTCCAACTTTTCACTCTAGTGAGCATGTTCAGCATGCTAAAATTGTTGGACTGCCACAATCTATCTGAGATTTTCACTCTCAGACCTGTCAAGGCATGGTCTCTCTCCTTCTCTGACCTTGTCAGGGGGATAGTGAGTGAGAGCTGCTGTGACAGGGGTGTAGCGCTGGCCTGCTGATGAAAGGTGATACATCTGCAGCTCTATCCTGTACTGTGGCCAGGCTCAGACATGACAGGCTGGAGGGAGGGAGGGAGGGAGGGAGGGAGGGAGGGAGGGAGGGAGGGAGAGGAAATACAGTGGGGAAAGAAAGTATTTAGTCAGCCACCAATTGTGCAAGTTCTCCCACTTAAAAAGATGAGAGAGGCCTGTAATTTTCATCATAGGTACACGTCAAGTATGACAGACAAAATGAGAAAAAGAAATCCAGAAAATCACATTGTAGTATTTTTAATGAATTTATTTGCAAATTATGGTGGAAAATAAGTATTTGGTCAATAACAAAAGTTTCTCAATACTTTGTTATATACCATTTGTTGGCAATGACACAGGTCAAACGTTTTCTGTAAGTCTTCACAAGGTTTTCACACACTGTTGCTGGTATTTTGGCCCATTCCTCCATGCAGATCTCCTCTAGAGCAGTGATGTTTTGGGGCTGTCGCTGGGCAACATGGACTTTCAACTCCCTCCAAAGATTTTCTATGGGGTTCAGATCTGGAGACTGGCTAGGCCACTCCAGGACCTTGAAATGCTTCTTACGAAGCCACTCCTTCGTTGCCCGGGCGGTGTGTTTGGGATCATTGTCATGCTGAAAGACCCAGCCACGTTTCATCTTCAATGCCCTTGCTGATGGAAGGAGGTTTTCACTCAAAATCTCACGATACATGGCCCCATTCATTCTTTCCTTTACACGGATCAGTCGTCCTGGTCCCTTTGCAGAATAACAGCCCCAAAGCATGATGTTTCCACCCCCATGCTTCACAGTAGGTATGGTGTTCTTTGGATGCAACTCAGCATTCTTTGTCCTCCAAACACGACGAGTTGAGTTTTTACCAAAAAGTTCTATTTTGGTTTCATCTGACCATATGACATTCTCCCAATCCTCTTCTGGATCATCCAAATGCACTCTAGCAAACTTCAGACGGGCCTGGACATGTACTGGCTTAAGCAGGGGGACACGTCTGGCACTGCAGGATTTGAGTCCCTGGCGGCGTAGTGTGTTACTGATGGTAGGCTTTGTTACTTTGGTCCCAGCTCTCTGCAGGTCATTCACTAGGTCCCCCCGTGTGGTTCTGGGATTTTTGCTCACCGTTCTTGTGATCATTTTGACCCCACGGGGTGAGATCTTGCGTGGAGCCCCAGATCGAGGGAGATTATCAGTGGTCTTGTATGTCTTCCATTTCCTAATAATTGCTCCCACAGTTGATTTCTTCAAACCAAGCTGCTTACCTATTGCAGATTCAGTCTTCCCAGCCTGGTGCAGGTCTACAATTTTGTTTCTGGTGTCCTTTGACAGCTCTTTGGTCTTGGCCATAGTGGAGTTTGGAGTGTGACTGTTTGAGGTTGTGGACAGGTGTCTTTTATACTGATAACAAGTTCAAACAGGTGCCATTAATACAGGTAACGAGTGGAGGACAGAGGAGCCTCTTAAAGAAGAAGTTACAGGTCTGTGAGAGCCAGAAATCTTGCTTGTTTGTAGGTGATCAAATACTTATTTTCCACCATAATTTGCAAATAAATTCATTAAAAATCCTACAATGTGATTTTCTGGATTTTTTTTCCTCAATTTGTCTGTCATAGTTGACGTGTACCTATGATGAAAATTACAGGCCTCTCTCATCTTTTTAAGTGGGAGAACTTTCACAATTGGTGGCTGACTAAATACTTTTTTTCCCCACTGTATATTTGAGCCCAGGTATGAATGAAATGCGTCTTTCTGTTACACTACTTGACAGGATGATCAGATAGCTACATCCATAGCCTGTTGGATAGAGAGATGCTGTCATCACTCGAAAGTAGATAAAATAGGGCGGCAGGTAGCTTAGTGGGTAAGAGCGTTGTGCCAGTAACCGAAAGGTCGCAAGGCACTTAACCCTAATTGCTCCTGTAAGTCGCTCTGGATAAGAGCGTCTGCTAAATATGTAAAATGTAAATGTAAAATACATGACAAAATGTCAGAACACATTCAAAGGAAACAAATTGGCATTATGAAGGAGAGAGACAGGAAGAAGGTGTATAATGACAATCTATACACAACACATTTTTGTCATTTAGCAGACGCTCTTATCCAGAGCGACTTACAGTTAGTGAGCACATACATCATTTTATATTTTTATATTATATTTTTATTTTTTTCATACTGCCCCCCCGTGGGAATCGAACCCACAACCCTGGCGTTGCAAACGCCATGCTCTACCAACTGAGCTACATCCTGCCAACCATTCCCTCCCCTACCCTGGACGACACTTGGCCAATTGTTCGCCTCCCCATGGGTCTCCCGGTCGCGGCCGGCTACGACAGAGCCTGGATTCGAACCAGGATCTCTAGTGGCACAGCTAGCACTGCGATGCAGTGCCTTAGACCACTGCGCCACTCGGGAGATATAGACATTGCAATGCTCCAGGACTGGGTTATGTTATGTGTCAGTGGCTATTTTCTTTGAGAAAGACACAATGAAATGTACAGTAAAGTAATAGCCATAAAAAGAGCATAGTTGACCGTTACTGTACCAAAACAAAATCAAGTCCGATGTGATTCTAATGCAATGCCCTTTAAGATATAAGCGGCTGGAGCTAATGTATTCACCAAACAAATAAGTAAGTACCCATTGGTCTTATTACAGTCATTTCTATAGAGATAAAATCACCACCAGTAAAAACACACTGACATTTTCCCAGGCATTGAGAGACAGAGGGAGGGAGAGGGAGAGAGAGAAAAAGAGAGAGAGAGACAGAAAGAGAGAGAGTATGAGAGGGAAAAGGAGAGAGAGAATGAGAGAGAGGGAGAGAGACAAAATGAAAGAGAGAGAAAGAGAGAGAGCACTAGGCCTCGCTGTGGCTCTACAAGGAAATCTATACTGACACTGGCTTGGATCCAAAGGCCTTCAGCTCCTTTGTACTCCCTCCTCTCTCTTCCTAAACAACAACAACACAGACTCCACATCATTTCTGCTGCTTTGTGATTGACACCTGTCTGCTCCTGTCCTGGACCTCTGCGAGATTATGGGTAAATTAGTAAAAGGGGTCTGGGGCGAGGCGGTGTCTTGTCTTCGCTGCGTGACATGCAAGTACAACAGGCTCAGTGGAGGGGAGAGGAGTGAGAGAGAGAGAAAGCGAGAGAGAGGAGAGAGAGAGAGAGAAAGAGAGCAGAGCCAGAGGGAAGCTAGCTGCTGACTTCTAGTGGAAGCTAATGACTCTGAACACACACCTCTATTAACGGCACGGTGTGCATGCTGCGTCTAAATTTAGCACCCAGCCACAAATAACAACAAACATTAGGCAGGAGGGAGGAGCCATAGGGCAGGTGCTTCATTACCTTGATATCACTGGTGCTGGGGTTTTGGGGTTCAATGTGATTTGGAATTAGCCTAGTCCCAGATCTGTTTGTGCTCTTTTGCCAACTCCTAGTCACTCATTGTCACACCAAATGGCATGACAATTCCAACGAGCAGAAACAGACTGGCACCCAAGCTCATTTGAACTAGGGGGGGGGGCAATAGTGCACATGAACATGTGTTACTGTACATTACACTAAGTCAAACACTGTGTAGTGGATCTAGCATAATCTCTGCCTAACAAGCATATTTGGCCTCATAAACTCTATAAGCTATGTCAACAGCATGTTAAGTTGTACAAATGTTAGTGGATCCAAATGAAATAAGAACCCAATCAGGTTGAGTGTATATTAGATTAGGCTGAGAAGTCCCATTGATTTGATCTGTTAATGAACAAGCCAGTGGTTAGATGGAGAGATCTGGTGGAGGAGAGGAAGGAAGACGGGAACATATGTTGCCTAGTCGCAGAAAAGCCCCAGTGATTTCTTCAATTTATTAAAAGCCAAATTTCATTACAAAGACTGAATGAATGACATGAACTACACAAAGCCACACAAGCGGAGCACAGCGATAGAGTAGTAGTTTTATTACTTTACTAATCTACACAGACATGAATGACTCTAGTCACTCTCACTCAGATATCATATTAAAAACTGCAAACATTTCTCTCTGCCCCATGGCAAAATTGTGTAGAATTGCAACAAAATGTTACTTAGGGCCCCCAAAATGCTAGGGCTCTGACTGCATGTGTGGGTACGCAGACCCACGAGCCACTGTGGCCCATGTGATGAGTTCAGATTTTTGGTGGCCCCCACCCCCATCAAAGTTGGTTGCCCATCCCTGCTGTAGGGTTTGGGTCTGTTCTGCCTGGGGTCTAGTGCAGCCTATCAGCAACCACCACACTGGAGCCTGGTGATAGGGTATGCAGGCTGGCACACACTGGCACACACACAATTCACGAAATGGAATCCTGCACAGGAGTTTTGTGTGCCATTAGAATTGCGATAATTGTAAAATAATCAAATTATTGTGCCGCTTAATTATTGAAAGTAACAGTACCCAATGTGGGTATCGTTTTCATTTCAAATGGAGATGACGCATGTCCATCGATAATTTGCCTGATGTTGCTTACAATGTCTTGAAGTGAACAGACCCAGAGAGAAGAGAAGGTAATGGGTGAACATTTGAGAGGTGAGAGACGGAGAGCGGGATTAGAACAGTTCACTGCCAGCCATGCCAAGACCATAGAGTGAGTCAGACGGCGGTAAATGGCATCCACAATATGGTGGCGTATGGTGATGTCTACACACACAGACACACAGTGTGGCAGTGTTAATACTCACATGATTGGTGAGGGGGAAGCTCTGGTAAGAGTCTTTCATTTCCTGCAATTTGACTGGTTCAAGAAGACTGGTTGTGTCCCAAATGGCACCCTATTCCCTATAAAGTGCACTAATAGAGTGTATGGGTTCTGGTATTTTATTTATTTATTTTACCCTTATTTAATCAGGTAAGCTGACTGAGAACACATTTGCATTTACAGCAACGACCTGGGGAATAGTTACAGGGGAGACTACTATATAATAGTGTAATTTGGGAGGCAGCCACCCTCGTATTGCTCCCCTCTATCTTTACCTCAGGCCACCACGCCAAATGAAAATTCTCTACCCCCACTGACTTACTTAGTGGTTTTAATAGCTGTTATAAGTAGATGTATGAATGTTAGATGTGTCTCCTATATCCATACAGTGTGAACACTGGGAGAAGGGTTGATTAAAGGTTACAGGGATTGACTACTATTTTCTCAATGTAAGACTCTACATCTAGTTTTTTCCTCCTCCCTCTCCTCCCTCTCTTCCCCGTACACCTCCCTCTCCTCCTCCCTCTCCTCCCTCTCCTCCCTCTCCTCCTCCCTCTCCTCCCTCTCCTCCTTCCCTCTCCTCCCTCTCCTCCTCCCTCTTCCTCCTCCCTCTCCTCCCTCTCCTCCTCCCTCTCTTCCCTCTCCTCCTCCCTCTCCTCCCTCTCCTCCCTCTCCTCCCTCCCTCCTCCCTCTCCTCCTTCTCCTCCTCCCTCTCTTCCTCTCCTCCTCCCTCTCCTCCTCCCTCTCCTCCCTCTCCTCCTCCCTCTCCTCTCCTCTCCCCTCTCCTCCCTCCTCCTCCCTCCCTCCTCCCTCTCTTCCTAATCCCCCTAGTTTTAAATCCTGCTCTACTTCTCTTTTCCCTCCTCACTCCTTCCTCTACCTCCTCCTCCTCCTTTTCCTCTCCATTCTCTCTCTTAAGTCCCTCCTCCTCTTATTCATCCTCTACACCCCTACACCCTGCCTCAGTAGACTAATGGAGATTCTGTCATCGCCTCGAGAGGAATTACTGGCATTTACCAAGCTCACACACACACACACCACACACACACACACACACAGTTTCTCTAACACTCCAGTTCCCACTCTCTCTTCATCATTTCCCCACATTCTCTTTCTCCCCGGTTCTGCTCTCAGAATATAATGCACCCAAATGTCCCCACAATAAGACATGATCGCAGTTGGGACCAGAACTCATCCCAACACTACAGTGGCATTGGCTCCGTGTCTCGGAGGCTCTCACCGCTCCGGAGAGAACACCACTTCATCCGCATCCTTGGGGCAAACAATACACCACGGCGCCTCCTCCCTCACTTCCTCTCTCTGAAACGCACCTGCCTGGTGCCACCCGCCCGCCCACACGTTCAGGGGAAGGACAGAGAGACAATGGCTGCTGTCAATGGCTGCTGTCAAAACAGAGGCTGACGAGCCAGGGCGCGAGACCGACGGAGACGCTAAGACGGCCGGGCGGGACACACTACTGACAGCAGGCTCTGCCGGGCTCCCTCTGAGAGAGAGAGGTCAGAGGTCGCTGACGGAGGAAGGGACCTTCACACTCATTAAGGAAGGGCCTTTACTATGTCTGGGACTCATAGATTGGAGTAGTCAAAATGACTGTGCATGCCTGCATGAGAGAGACAGGCGTCTAGATATGTGAGGATGTGCCTAATTTTGTGATTTAAGAGCTGATCTGGAGCCAGTTTTGTTTAGTAGACTGGTTTCATTCCCAAAGTATTAAGGTATAGATAACTGATCCTAGATCTAGCTGTAATAGAGTCAGCATGTTAACAGGCAGTGGTTGTTGCTTACTTCTGTGAGATGGGGGTTGGGGTTGAAGCCACACTGGTTGCAGACGGTGGAGCGGCACTGCGTGCAGGTGTTGTAGTTTGGCAGGGCCGGCGGGTTGGTCAGCTCTGCTGTGGAGCAGAGGGGGCACAGCTTGCTGACGGGCATGGGGGCGATCTGAGGCACCGAGTAGGGCGAGGTGGGGGTGATCCCCCGGTCCGGAGATGCCGAGGAGGATCGACCCGTCCGGCCTCCCGAGCTGCTGAAGTCCACCTGGAGGTTCTGTCTGGAGGCGTGCTGACCGGGCTGACCGGGACTCTGGCCATGCTGACCCTGACCGCCACCCATCCCAGCACCCATACCTGGCCCATGGCCCTGACCCTGCCCTGGGCCGTGGCCTGGGCCAGAGCCATGGTCGGAGCCTGAGCTAGACTGCTGCATCGGCCTGTGGCTCTCTTGGTTGGCCAGTCTCTGACCTCCCCCTCCACCCATTCCTCCAGCCATTCCTCCATAGCCAAGCTGCATCCCAGGTTTAGGACTCCCCATAGGAACCCTAAAAAAAAAGGAATCAAATTAATTTCAAATAGAACATCCCTTTTAGACGGGACCTAGAGTTTTGTACATATCTAAAGATGCCAACATGACAAATAAGTTCTATAGGTGTTATGGGTAACTATACTAGATCTATACGGTAGCATGACTATGGAGTTCTATCTATTCAGGAGACATAGTTAGAAATCTATATCTATTGTCTATACACCTAAATCTACTGGAGCCTTACATAGCCTCTGAAAGTGTTCCCGTTCAGCAGGATTCCTACAACCATCCTTGTTATGGCTGTGTAGCGAGAGCATGGGACATTAAACAAGTTGACATTATCAGGGAACATTTGGCAGAGAGACTTGGGGCAAACCATGGAACCTCACAGACCAGGTTAACAGCTCTTATACAGACAATGAACAAGACAGGTAACTTTATTGGGCAGCTAGCCCCTACGGGGGAGTTTTTATTTAGCCATGTAATATCTATTAATTTGGGTGTTTGGTCAGTATCACTAAATTGTTGCATTTTATTCTACCACCTAAAAACTGCTAGAAGAGAGAGTAAATAACAGTCATTATTTATTTATAAATGCACAATGAATTGCCAAAGGATATAACATAGCCATAGGATACACAAAGGCATCAACAAGAGGCTACAAAAAGGAAGCAGGAAAAGTAATCACAGAACTACATCAACATATTTCCCTAATACTGAAACAAGACACTGAAAAACACATCCGATCTGGGAACAGCGTAAATGTGGAATGGATCAAAGAGAACCACAGTAGTTCCGGCCAATCATTTGATTCAGTTGTGTCATGTGAATTTAGACTCGAGTATTATTATTATTTTTATTTTTTAAATAATATTAATATATATACATATATTTTTATTTTTTTTGCGGGTTAGATCAGCTTTAATATTGCAGATAGATTGTAACTTCCATCAGTGTAATTGTCTGCATCACTTCCAATCCCCCATATGTTTTTTTCTTCTCGCAAATATATATACAGTGGGGAGAACAAGTATTTGATACACTGCCGATATTGCAGGTTTTCCAACTTACAAAGCATGTAGAGGTCTGTAATTTTTATCATAGGTGCACTTCAACTGTGAGAGACAGAATCTAAAACAAAAATCCAGAAAATCACATTGTATGATTTTTAAGTAATAATTTGCATTTTATTGCATGATATAAGTATTTGATCACCTACCAACCAGTAAGAATTCCGGCTCTCACAGACCTGTTAGTTTTTCTTTAAGAAGCCCTCCTGTTCTCCACTCATTACCTGTATTAACTGCACCTGTTTGAACTCGTTACCTGTATAAAAGACACCTGTCCACACACTCAATCAAACAGACTCCAACCTCTCGACAATGGCCAAGCTGTGTAAGGACATCAGGGATAAAATTGTAGACCTGCACAAGGCTGGGATGGGCTACAGGACAATAGGCAAGCAGCTTAGTGAGAAGGCAACAACTGTTGGCGCAATTATTAGAAAATGGAAGAAGTTCAAGATGACGGTCAATCACCCTCGGTCTGGGGCTCCATGCAAGATCTCACCTCGTGAGGCATCAATGATCATGAGGAAGGTGAGGGATCAGCCCAGAACTACACGGCAGGACCTGGTCAATGACCTGAAGAGAGCTGGGACCACAGTCTCAAAGAAAACCATTAGTAACACACTACGCCGTCATGGATTAAAATCCTGCAGCACACGCAAGGTCCCCCTGCTCAAGCCAGCGCATGTCCAGGCCCGTCTGAAGTTTGCCAATGACCATCTGGATGATCCAGAGGAGTAATGGGAGAAGGTCATGTGGTCTGATGAGACAAAAATATAGCTTTTTGGTCTAAACTCCACTCGCCGTGTTTGGAGGAAGAAGAAGGATGAGTACAACCCCAAGAACACCATCCCAACCGTGAAGCATGGAGGTGGAAACATCATTCTTTGGGGATGCTTTTCTGCAAAGGGGACAGGACGACTGCACCGTATTGAGGGGAGGATGGATGGGGCCATGTATCGCGAGATCTTGGCCAACAACCTCCTTCCCTCAGTAAGAGCATTGAAGATGGGTCGTGGCTGGGTCTTCCAGCATGACAACGACCCGAAACACACAGCCAGGGCAACTAAGGAGTGGCTCTGTAAGAAGCATCTCAAGGTCCTGGAGTGGCCTACCCAGTCTCCAGACCTGAACCCAATAGAAAATCTTTGGAGGGAGCTGAAAGTCCGTATTGCCCAGCGACAGCCCCGAAACCTGAAGGATCTGGAGAAGGTCTGTATGGAGGAGTGGGCCAAAATCCCTGCTGCAGTGTGTGCAAACCTGGTCAAGACCTACAGGAAACGTATGATCTCTGTAATTGCAAACAAAGGTTTCTGTACCAAATATTAAGTTCTGCTTTTCTGATGTATCAAATACTTATGTCATACAATAAAATGCAAATTAATTACTTAAAAATCATAAAATGTGATTTTCTGGATTTTTGTTTTAGATTCTGTCTCTCACAGTTGAAGTGTACCTATGATAAAAATTACAGACCTCTACATGCTTTGTAAGTAGGAAAACCTGCAAAATCGGCAGTGTATCAAATACTTGTTCTCCCCACTGTATACATATACATACATACACATACATATACACATACAGTTGAAGTCGGAAGTTTGCATACACCTTTGCCAAATACATTTAAACTCAGTTTTTCACAATTCCTGACATTTAATCCTAGTAAAAATTCCCTGTCTTAGGTCAATTAGGATCACCACTTTATTTTAAGAATGTGAAATGTCAGAATAATAGTAGAGAGAATTATTTCTTTCAGCTTTTATTTCTTTCATCACATTCCCAGTGGGTCAGAAGTTTACATACACTCAATTAGTATTTGGTAGCATTGCCTTTAAATTGTTTAACTTGGGTCAAACGTTTCGGGTAGCCTTCCACAAGCTTCCCACAAAAAGTTGGGTGAATTTTGGCCCATTCCTCCTGACAGAGCTGGTGCAACTGAGTCAGGTTTGTAGGCCTCCTTGCTCGCACACGCTTTTTCAGTTCTGCCCACACATTTTCTATAGGATTGAGGTCAGGGCTTTGTGATGGCCACTCCAATACCTTGACTTTGTTGTCCTTAAGCCATTTTGCCACAACTTTGGAAGTATGCTTGGGGTCAGTGTCCATTTGGAAGAACCATTTGCGACCAAGCTTTAACTTCCTGACTGATGTCTTGAGATGTTGCTTCAATATATCCACATAATTTTCCTTCCTCATGATGCCATCTATTTTGTGAAGTGCACCAGTCCCTCCTGTAGCAAAGCACCCCCACAGCATGATGCTGCCACCCCCGTGCTTCACAGTTCACGGTTTTTCCTCCAAACATAATGATGGTCATTATGGCCAAACAGTTCTATTTTTGTTTCATCAGACCAGAGGACATTTCTCAAAAAAGTACAATCTTTGTCCCCATGTGCAGTTGCAAACCGTAGTCTGGCTTTTTTATGGCGGTTTTGGAGCAGTGGCTTCTTCCTTGCTGAGCGGCCTTTCAGGTTATGTTGATATAGCACTCCTTTTACTGTGGATATAGATACTTTTGTACCTGTTTCCACCAGCATCTTCACAAGGTCCATTGCTGTTGTTCTGGGATTGATTTGCACTTTTCGCACCAAAGTACGTTCATCTCTAGGAGACAGAACGCGTCTCCTTCCTGAGCGGTATGACGGCTGCGTGGTCCCATGGTGTTTATACTTGCGTACTATTGTTTGTACAGATGAACGTGGTACCTTCAGACGTTCAGAAATTGCTACCAAGGATGAACCAGACTTTCTGAGGTCTTGGCTGATTTCTTTTGATTTTCCCATGATGTCAAGCAAAGAGGCACTGAGTTTGAAGGTAGGCCTTTAAATACATCCACAGGTACACCTCCAATTGACTCAAATGATGTCAATTAGCCTATTAGAAGCTTCTAAAGCCATGACAACATTTTCTGGAATTGTCCAAGCTGTTTAAAGGCACAGTCAACTTAGTGTATGTAAACTTCTGACTCACTGGAATTGTGATACAGTGAATTATAAGTGAAATAATCTGTCTGTAAACAATTGTTGGAAAAATTACTTGTGTCATGCACAAAGCAGATGTCCTAACCGACTTGCCAAAACTATAGTTTGTTAACAAGACATTTGTGGAGTGGTTGAAAAATGAGTTTTAATGACTCCAACCTAAGTGTATATATATACATATCCTTTCTTAAAATATATTTCCCTTTATTACTTTCCAACCCCACCATCCCTTCCCTAATTGGATAAACTAGTGAACAACAATGCTTAGGCCGCTTATACAGTGAGGGAAAAAAGTATTTGATCCCCTGCTGATTTTGTACGTTTGCCCACTGACAAAGAAATGATCAGTATATAATTTTAATGGTAGGTTTATTTGAACAGTAAGAGGCAGAATAACAACAAAAAACTCCAGAAAAACGCATGTCAAAAATGTTATAAATTGATTTGCATTTTAATGAGGGAAATAAGTATTTGACCCCTCTGCAAAACATGACTTAGTACTTGGTGACAGTGTTTCCTAGCCTCGGTGCAGTGGGCAGTTGGGAGGAGCTGCTCTTATTTTCCATGGACTTTACAGTGTCCCAAAACTTTTTGGAGATAGTGCTACAGGATGCAAATTTCTGTTTGAAAAAGCTAGCCTTTGCTTTCCTAACTGATTGTGTATATTGGTTCCTGACCCTAAAAAGTTGCATATCGCGGGGGCTGTTCGATGCTAATGCAGTACGCCACAGGATGTTTTTGTGCTGGTCAAGGGCAGTCAAGTCTGAGGAGAACCAGGGGCTATATCTGTTCTTAGTTCTGATTTTTTGAATGGGGCATGCTTATTTAAGATGGAGAGGAAAGCACTTTTAAAAAACAACCAGGCATCCTCTACTGACGGAATGAGGTCAATATCCATCCAGGATACCCGGGCCAGGTCAATTAGAAAGGCCTGCTCGCTAAAGTGTTTTAGGGAGCGTTT